TAGTTATTTCTTCCAAGCAAGACAATTTGATTAGAGAAAGGTAGGTTTGTTACATATCTTGAGATTGAATGATATATTTTGATTAAATTATTGACTGAGGATTGATGTGCCTCGTATGTCTATACATTGATTTAACTTTTCCCTAGTTTTCAAACATTTGCAATAAACCAAATAACACATTAGTAAAACATCTCTATAAGTGCAACATAAAAGTCTCCCCATCCCTAAACAATTTGGTTATTGCAAATTTGATATTTATGGGTAAGATGAAATGAACAAATTAATGAAATATACCACAATACACCACAATCCACCCACATTCACAAAAAGGAAAGATGAGATGGTGATCGGCAAATTAATAAACACTTTCTGGAATAGGGTTTGCTCATCATCTTTCACACCTGAAGAAATGCTGGAGGATTTTAGGCTGAGCTTATCAGTAAATCACTTCAGATTGCCCTGGATCAAGTGAATCTGACAGAAAAAAAGATTGATATCTGACAGGGTAGAAATTATGTATATGTAGTGATTTAGAATCAAATATAAATGATTACTGTACAGTCTCGTGATTTTGAGGGCATTAAATTTTGTGATTTTGTTATAGAAAACAAAATTGCCACATTTCTTAATGGGGGTTGATAAATTAAATTGATACTGTGTAGAGAATTCATGTAGTCACAGTTAAGACCGAAATACATGTAAACTATGTTCATTATGTTGAGCCACCCTTATACAATTGTTTTGATAAGTGGGTTTGTTTTTTTGGGCCCCAATAATAAGGGTGACCCCATTCATTCTCGCTGACCAAATGATCAGTATGGGTCAGGGAAGCATCCCAAAATCACTTTTGCATATACATATACAGCAGTTATAAATTAACAAGAATTCATTATTTCAATAGCATGGATTATGGTCATACCATAATTGATGGCCCCTTTTTATTGGATTGACAAAAAGGTCGATGGTTGGGATTGAATTCTTTGTTGGCTGCATTTTGGTTTGTTCATTTTTCTTTTCTTTTGCAGAAACATATGCATACAAAGTACTTGCCATAATTTGTTTCCAGTAATCTTACACGCAAAAACTGAAAAAAATATATGCCAGAAATTTTTTGATTGACCGTATTTTGGTAGGTTGGCTGGAAGCAACAATTAAGCAAACACTGTTTTATATTAGGCCTTTTATAAAATATATGAAAATAATAATTTCCTTTTGAATAATTATGATTTTACAGTCTGTATGAAACTGAAAACCTGAATGTATCATATTTTCTAGGATTATACTGAGTGATGTTTAAGCTAATTTAAAGATGGTCTGTTCTTGATGGGTTTCCATTTTGTTAACACCAGGTAGCAAATTGCTGGGGTTTTAAATGGTTCCTGTCATTTCTTTGTCAAGAAAAAAACTAATAGAATGTAAATTGAATTTTAAAAGGAGGAAGAATGAATTAAAAAATTTTCACAAGTTTAATGAAAGTACTGTTCTGAATAAATGCCTTTCACTAATGTAATTACCATCATTCTATTCTGAATGAGAAAATTGTTCATTAATGTCAAAATGCTTCTTATTGGGAAGGTCGTGTTGCCTTTTATATTCTGTTGTTTCCAATAAGTGCATAGGCTGAACTACAAATTCGATGCATATTCAGTTTATGCAATTTAATCAGAATTAATAACTATAGTTATATAGTTACAGTTATCAATTCATAATAATTCTATGTAACAAATTTATGAGAGTTTTATGGGAAAATATTACAATACTCAAAACTCCATGCAATTGTTTCAAGCATCATGTACAGACCTTTTTTGTCTATGGAGAATATAATCTGTCCACAGCAGTGCACTGCACTAATCTATGGTGGCTGAATTTTGCCATTTCATGTTTTCGTGTCTTTGCCCCTCAAGAGTCTAAGGCACTATAATATGCTCACTTATTGTTACTTCACCTTCAGCTTTTGAGGGTGCCGACCTGAAAACAGCGAAATAACAATATTTTAATAACTTGAAGTCTGCAGAATTATCGTGTTGGTGGGTCTTTGTAATGGTGCCCTATATTTGTCGTGTTGTCGTGTCTGAGTTCACCTCCCAATGGGAAAGACAAAAACTAGTTGAATTAGCCAATTATTGTGTCTTGACTTTTGAGGGGCGAAGACACGAAATGGCAGAAATCAGCCACCATACCAATCAGTACAGTAGAGTAGCAGAACACAGTTACCCAGATTCAGGAAGATTTATATTGAATGAGTGAGTTCATTCAAATTATTTCCCCCCTTTAAAATGCAAAATAAGAAAATCTGTGAATATTATTTCAAAATTTTAAAATTACCTTCCATCATTAGTTTTAAGTTCTTTGATTTTTGTAAGACAATACCTCATTTGAATGCATTTTTGAGACACGTATGAAGCAGTTTATATTTCTATAATGTATTTGTCTCACATATTTATTGTTGTTGTTGATTATTATCCCCCGCCAATGGAATCGGGAGGGGGATATAGTTTTGGCGTTGTCCGTCCGTCCGTCCGTCCGCACTCACAGGAGAGTAATTATGTGGCTAGAGGGACAATAGGTAACTGTTCTTTCTCTTTGATGTCATTCTTTCCGTAATGCTTTTATGTGGCTATTTTCTTTTGTGTGACTAAAAAGAACAATAGAGAGAATAATAGAGTAGCCACATAATTACTGTCCTGTGAGAACTTCCGTCCTTCCGTCCATCCTTCCGTCCGTCTGTACGTCCGAATTTCGTTTCCGGACTAGTTCTCTGCAACTACTGGCTGGAATTCAACGAAACTTTATGGGAATCATCAATATCAAGAGGAGATGGGCTTATCATTGCCTTGTTGGGGTTAGACATTTTAACTTAGAGTTATGGCCCTTAATAACTTATGCAGTATACAACCAGAGCATTAATCGTTTCCGTGCTACTTTTCTGTAACTACTGGCTGGAATTCAATGAAACTTTATGGGATACGAAGAGGAGATGTGCATATATACGCCTTGTTCCAGTCAGACACTTATAACTCAGAGTTATGGCCCTTGATTAGTTATGCAGTATGCATACATCTCATTGGCATTTCCAGATATTACTATTTAACACAGAGTTATGGCTCTGTTATTGCCCTGAATATTTATCAAGTTCAAAGAATATTACTGTTTATGCCATGATAAATATATAAATAAAGCCTTATGTCTTCAGTTGTTGTGTTAGTAATAACCAGTACTGGGCGGGGGATATAAATTCAACGAATTTGCTTGTTGCATGTAGGAATATAGGTCTACAGAGTTTCCTTCCAAATTATGAAACTTTGTAAGCTAGTCTGATTCTACATAAGTAATAAGTTTTAATCATCATTTAAATTTTAGAAATGTTTTATGTTTGGTTGAATATATTATTGGAAGTCAAATGGCATCTGACTACATGTATATGATGACTATCTTCTATTATAGACTACTATAAGGCTGTAAACTCATGTTTATACAACTGCAAAACTACTAATAGAGTTATCCATTGGGTAACGGTTTAGGCATATTGTATTTCTGCCTTTTCTTTTGGGTGTTAAAGTTTTATATCAACATCTCATAAATGACAATTGTTAGTAAAACCATACTAAAAGATGGACAAAGATGATTTCCCTAATGTAGAGAGGGATGTATTAGTAATGTAGATGGATGGGGTAAATCCACAGATGGATGTAGGGAGGGTTAAAGATTAATCCAATAATGAAAAACAATGCTCCCGTTAGTCACCGGGATACAAAACTCTGCAAACTTACAGCCTGATTCAGTATGACAGTTATGCCGACTATTTAACTATAATGATACTCTCTGTCTCGAGATCCTGTAAGTAATTAGCTTGCACATCTGTAAGGTATATAGATATGTCAGTTTTCATAGGTAACACTGGAGAATTATAGCACCAGACTGATTATCACTTGCTATAATAAACATATCATTCATGGACAGTTTTACACCCATTTTACTTGGTATATTTTTATTTAATTTGTTAGTATTGTAATGCTAGTATCTGGCTTATTATCAACACCGTGAAAGGCTAAAGTCAGTTCATTCCTTGTAGTTTTCAGGAAGGTTTTCTTCTAGTTTATTTGATGTCAATACAGTTTGTTCTTTGTTTGCATATTTTCACATTTAGCTTAAATTTGTGATGAATAGAGAGAGCTATTTGTAGCCACCCCAGAGTCAGCATCATCATCACACTTTGGTTAAGTTTTTGCTTGAAAATCTGTATCTCTTAAAATACTGGTGAATGTGACAACTACAAAACAAAATCATCGTCTGCACTTTCCATAAAAATGGCTAATGGTTTAGTCCAGATTGAAAGATGGGCAAGTCCATTTAACATATTAAGTGTGGAAAGGGTGAAGGCTTTGTCAAAGTGTCAGGTGTTTGTTGGATAATGGTATCATATCATCAGTTATATCACTGTTATATTATAGTCATTGCATATTAGCAGTATTGAGATTTATTTTTTGAAATACGGGAAAACTTAACTTGCTGGAGCCAAAGGTGATAAGCCTTTTACTACCAAGGTCAGCCAGGCCTGAGCCTACACTTCTGTGCAGCCTGACCTGGTTCTATACTGTTGGTTCCTCACCTTTTGTATTCCAGTATTCGCATCCTTTAAACTTTGAATGGACTATTCCAAATTCAAAACTGGGCAAATCCATTACACAAATTCAGGAGGAGTAGGGTTAAGTATCATAGTTGGTAGAGGCCATGATCCTAAAGTTCTTGTGTTTGTACTTCAATGGGCAATGATATAGTCAACACTGACCTTCTGTCAAATGTAACAAATTAAGTTGACAGATTAGTTTTGTTAACTTTCCCCATCAAAATGACAATGCATTACTTTGACAGAAGAGTAATTGTTTGGTAAAATTTTATGTAATACTGTATGAAATTGATGGCCTAATTTCATGACTTTAATTTATTACTTTAATTTATTTGCAGATGAGTAAATTTAAATGTTTTATTTTTAATTTCAGTTGACGTTATGGGATACAGGTGGGATGGAACGTATGAGCTTTATAGGACAGAGCTATTACCGCGGGGCTAACGCGGCCCTACTTTGTTACAGTATCAACAACAAAGAAACATTTTCCATACTCTCACAATATATCTTAGACATAGTCATGAACGCTGAAGGGGCCAAAATATTTTTGTGCGGAAATTTTGCAGACTGTGAGAGCGAAGATAGGGTAAACGAAACTGACATTGAAAATTTTACGCGCGAATGTGGGAACGTTTTGTCGGGATCATATCAAGTGTCATGTAAAGAAGGTACTAGTGTTAAAGACATGTTTGCAGATATGGCACGTGTCCTACATAAGGAAAATGCGAAGAAAATGACATTACGTAGAGATCTCGTTATTCAGCCAGGTGTCACGGAGGAAGAGGAGGCTTATCATAAAAAGAAATGTTGTACGTCATCCTGATTTTACATTTTGTATTCTAGGTTCATTACTCATTATTTCTATTTACATATAATTTTCTTATACAGTGAAACTGCCCCTCATATAACTTTATTCCTCATACGGAATGTTACTGATGTTGGCAATTGGAAATTGTTTATATGTTTTATAAACCACCATTCTTGCAATAAGATCTGTATAACTATATAGGGAGACACATATAATATCAGACATAATATAATTATAACTTATAATACAATCTGACAAATGGATTGACACAAGACATGTACTACTGTTTGACAAACAGACATATGCACAGACACTAAAAGAAAAAAATACAAACAGAGAGACAAACACTAACAGACAACAGGATTTTCACTGTATATAACTATGACTTTTATCTGAATTTTGAATCTGAAGATTATGTACAGGTTATTGTTGGGGTCAATTTTTTATGTAAAATATTAACTTCCTTTTAATTCATTCAGCTCTTTTTCTTACTTTTCTCCATATAATAAATTTTTGTTCACTTGTTAGAATAATCTATATTTAGATATTCCTCCATGTTCACTTGTAACCCATGAACACTTACAGTTGTATATAAAGAGAGAAAAAACTAAGAAAAATATATTGCTAGATGAATTCCTATATATTTTCTTTTCACTGAAATCTCTGAATATCTAGTAACTTAAGAATGTAGATTGTAAAAACCACAGATCATTTTTGCAAAAGATTTTTCTAAATTGTTAAAGACATTGCCTGAAATGAATAATGTTTAGTTATTATATTATTTGATTATATAAGGTTAAAGGCACACCTAGGACAAATTGTTTTTGATGTCATATGAGGAAAACATGTCAAGACCTCAAGCTTAAAGCTTTGGGCCTAAGATAATAAAGAACTGTTCTAAGCTTGTTAATTGGTCAGAATCAAGCACAGACTGTACATCGTACTAATGAAAATGAGGAGACAGAGTTCAGAACATAAGTTTTATACCCTCGAGGCTGACTTTTTGGTAAATTTGAGGCAACACCTTCAAAAGTAAGCCAAGGTTTTTAGGGCTTTAAAGAGGTTTTTTGGCATAATGTTTGTCACTTTTAAAATATATAGAGTATCAAAACTTTTAATTTTTACCCAATTTATGTTTACATCTTTCACTTATGATTAGTTCTCTTTTATGCATTCTGGAATTACTAGTTATACATGTGATACTGTAAACATTCTTCATAATTATATAATCTAGTCACATGGTAGGTCACACCTCGTAATCAGATATTTATGATATTGTCTCTTATACTCTAATTTGTTGTTTTTATTTTGTTTTTTTCATTTTCCATTTTAATGAATTGTATATATTTTTTGTAATTGTATAAAATATCTTTAAGGATAATGTTTTTTTAAACATTTTCCGATTACCTGTATATTACACACCATTGATTTCATTATGAATTGGGAAATGTCCCTCTAATATTATATATTAGAATTTGCCATAAATATTTTAAAAGCAAATTAGGAGAATATGAATTTTAAAAACAATGATTTTGGATTTTAGAAAAAATAACAACAAGAAACCTTCATTAAATAGATGAAACTTTTTTTTTTTTAGAAATGGTTTTGTTACATTTTGTGTATATATACATCTTATCTTATCTTATATACATGTTTGATATTATTGCATAGTAATCAGTATTTTCTGTGCCTTAGTTATTATATAAATTATAATCATAGATTTTGATTTATTAGAGATTTTAATTTTGTGCCTTATATTTTTCAGAGTTTATAATACAACAAGGACACTAAAGCAGGGAACAAGATCCATGAATTATCTATTAAACAACTAAAAAATTGAGTGGTTTTTGGCAGCTTATTTTGAGTTCTTTGGTTCATAATTTTCTGTTCCATTATAGCGAATTTTCCTGTTGAGAAACTTAATTGTATTTGAATGCAGTTTTCTGGTAATTTTGCCCTCTTTGCATGACAGAGCAAGCGTATAGCATTGTCAAGTTTAACAGAGTTTCACAAATTTTTGTTGGACTTAATTAGAGACAGTAGTTAACGTTTGGCTTACAATAACTATGCTCAGTTATTGTTTTATATAACTCATAGTTTTAAAAGTTTGAACCACGGAAAAATCACATGATTTCTAGTAGAAGATTGTGTCAATTTTTGTCCATCTTCTGCTTCAGACTTCAGTATTTCATTTTGAAAACATGGGAATAACCTTAATACAAACATGAACTTTTTCATGTTTGTAAATCCTTATGTAAATCCTTATGAAAAGAAATGTTAGTTGGTTAAGAAATGTGTGTTGGTTTAAATATTCTCGTCCAAAAACAAGCATGTTCAAAAATAACCGTTGGCATTGCAAGATATATAACTCCAGCAATAACAGCAGCTTTACTATAGAATATACCCCTTCCCAATATAGCATGAAATCTTGTTACCTGCTTTTTATGTTAAAATGCATTTAATAAACAGCTTTTTTTTTCAGGGAAATGACTTGAAACTGTGAATTCATTAAAGTTTATAAGATATTTTGTAATTAATTTCAAAGACTTTCCTGTTCAACTTCAGGAATTTTTTTTTTAATTGGTTTCTGGAAATTAGAACCAATAAACCATTTTCAAATCCTGACATTTGATTGGATGATACTCGGGGCAAATTTGAAATTGACCAATAGAAGAGTTCCAGACAGGTCATCTTTCAAATTCATAATTATCGCATAGAGATGAATATTTTAATGGAAATATCTTACCTTTTATGGATTCACAGTAATTTAAGGTTTCTACATACTTATGGTTGCAATATTTCTGATAATAGTTATTATGTTTATTCTTACAATGCATTTGTTTTCTGATTGTATGCATTTTTGTAATCATCTTTCATTTGCATATCATTAATATTCATTTATTGAAACAGAAATTTTATTATAACATACAACATTGTTAAATGTAAGATATTTTGTAAAGGTTGGATACTATAAGTAAAATTTTATGCCAGTATCATTTTAGCTAGACTATTAAAAGAATAGGGAGAGCTGTTGTACTCACCCAGGCGTCGGTGTCACAGTTCGGTTAAGTTTTTTGTGTGCAAGTTGGTACCTTCAAAACTACTGAAAGGAATAGTTTGGAAGTTCACACCCTTATTTGAGAGGAGCATAATAGTAGGTCTCTGTCCAAGGCCCATAACTCTAACATGGAATTTGACAGAATTATTGCCCTTTTTTGACTCAGAAAATTCCACATTATCCAGACTCGTGTCACACACTTCAAATACCAGTAGTCAAGCACATTGTTCTGTAGACAGCTCTTGTTTTCATGGTATAAAAGTAGTAGACCTTATGCAAACAAACTTCCTCATTTAGGCATTTTGCTAATTTTGTTGATAATAAAATGGCTTCAGATGGAACTGTTTCCATTTTTTTTTTTGATTGTTGTCTGTATGATAAAATTTCTGTTTAAGATAAGTAATGTAAATACTAACTTTATACTCTTCTGAGAAAAATGAACCCAAATGAAGAAATAAACTCAAAGGAATATTATATAAGAGAGAGAGAATGGAACTCCAAGAGGATATTGTACTCAAAGAGGTTATTGTAGATAAAAAGAACAAAAGATATGTAAAGGAATGGAGATGTGTGGAGGCTACAAAATTTATGTGAAATTCAACATATCTGTTGGACAGTTTTTGAAATTCTTGTTATAATAGATATTAATTAGGATGATTTTAGAAGCATTGTTTTGAATTGTGCTATACAAAGCTTTTTGTTATTGGAATATGGATTGTTATATTTTGTCAAATGAGACAGAACTGTATCAAATTTGAATTTTGATTTTTGAAAAGGTGGAAAATTATAATTACTTATTTTAAAAAAATTTAACACCTGAAATACCATCTTTGTACAAATGTATAAACAAATCAATGCCAGTAAAAACTTTCTCCATGTTTTCTATCTTTCTTTGTGATTTAAATACAAAATTTTCATGCTCAAGGGGGATAATTATTTTCAAATTAAAACTGTATGAGTAATTTCCCTTTTAAAAAAATTGTTAAAATCATACAAAATTTCTCAAGAAGATTATTTATTTCAGGGACATTCATCAATAATTTTCACACATTTAGTTTAATTAGTTACTACAGGCATTTGTTTATATCAAATATATTTACATCAAAAGTAATATTTAATATCAATCAATAATCAAACATTCCTTGTAAGTTAACACCCTGTAATCTGTTTTATGTAAGTACATTGTAATGTTAAGATGATAGTAAAAAAGTGATGATTAAATGTAAAAAAGCAGTGTTTGAACATTTATAATTATTTTCATAGACCAAACATTTTGACGTGTTTTTGACATGTAAAAATAAAATATTTAGAGTATTCAAAGGGCGTTGTGGTATGATACTTGATAAGCAACATTCAATTAAGCTTTTAATTGCTTAGATATGTAACCACATATACTTACCTAGTGAACACACTAGTATATAATGATATTGTTGTTTATCTGGCATGTAACCAACAAGTCACAGATCTTTCATTATTCAGAATTACAGTTGCAACTGTGGGCATTGAAAATGTGAAGTGAATTTTTGTTTCCTTTTCAAAAAAAATTGTAATTTAAAAAACTTTTGCAATTAATTTTTATTTTTTTAAATGGAATATTTAAAACCCTTTGACCAAATTTCAAATGATTGGTTTAGGCTTTTTTTTCGCTGCTCAATTTTTATTTTTATATTTAAACCCTTAAACGGGAAAATGGATTGCTAGCTTGACTTTTACCCCCCCATTTAAAAAAATTTTAAGGGATTTCTTCAAAAAATAAATTAAGTTACTCAGAGGGTTTTTGGCCTTTTGCAAGCTCTTCTATCCGTTTGGGAAAAAAATTATACTTTTTGGGTCAAAAATTTACCCAAAAGGAAAATTGTAAAAATACATTAAAAAAAAATTTAAAATATAAAATATATGTAATAAAGTTCAAAATATTTTTGCGACTCACAATGAGATCAAAAGATACACTGCTTCATGGCTGTTTGGACACACAGTTGTGTTAACATGTATAGCTTTTCTCTTGTATTAGATATATCTATGTTATAACTTTTATTTTGTGCCAAAACATGTCAATATTGTTGCTTCATGTTTAATGATATATTGTGTACATATCTGTTCTCTAAAATATTTGAATAATAAAATCTATAAAAATTTATATACTTGTAGCTGTTCAGTTCTTATACTGTGTATAATACAGGTTTAATTATTAAAATATGTGGATCTGAAAGCTTTCAGCCTTTGACAGCGGTACCTGTATATAGCCAGGCCAGTCTGGACTTCTTTGCTGAGTTTGACCAGGTTCTATACTGTTAAAGTTGACAGCAACTATAACCACATATCTCTGGTAGTTAGATAGAAGTTACTGTAACCACATGGCTCTAGTGTAACAACTCTAACCACATGGCATTGGTAGTAGCAACTGTAACCACATGGCCCTGTAAGTAGCAACTGTAACCACATGGCTCAGGTAGTAGCAATTGTAAACATATGGCCCAGATAGAAGAACTGTTACCACATGGTCCTGGTAGTAGAACTGTTACCACATGACCCAGGTAGTAGAACTGTAACCTCATGGCCCAGGGAGTAGCAACTGGCATGGCCCAGGTAGTAGCAACTATAACCACATGACCCAGGTAGTAGGAACTGTACCATATGACCCAGGTAGTAGCAACTGTAACCACATGGCCCAGGTAGTAGAACTGTTACCACATGGTCCTGGTAGTAGAACTGTTACCACATGACCCAGGTAGTAGAACTGTAACCTCATGGCCCAGGGAGTAGCAACTGTAACCGCATGGCCCAGGTAGTAGCAACTATAACCACATAACCCTGGTTGTAGGAACTGTACCACATGACCCTGGTTATAGAAACTGTAACCATATGGCCCAGGTAGTAGCAACTGTAACCACATGGCTCAGGTAGTAGCACTGTAATTACATGGTCCTGGTAGTAGCAACTGTAACCACATGGCTCAGGTAGTAGCAACTGTTACCACAAGGCCCTGGTAGTAGCAACTGTAACCACAAGGCCCTGGAAGTAGCAACTGAAACCACATGGCCTAGGTATTAGCAATTGTAACCACATGTCCTTGGTTGTAGCAACTGTAACCACAAGGTTCAGGCAGAAGCAACTGTAACCACATGATCCTTGTAGAGCAACTGTAACCACATGGCCCAGGCAATAGCAACTGTAACCACATGGCCCTGTAAGTAGCAACTGTAACCACATGGCCCAGGCAGTAGCAACTGTAACCACATGGCCCTGATAGTAGCAACTGTAACCACATGGCCCAGGCAGTAGAAACTGTAATCACATGGCCCTGGTAATAGCTAATGTAACCACATGATCCTGGTTGTAGCAACTGTAACCACATGGCCCTGGTTGTAGCAACTGTAACCACATGGCCCTGGTTGTAGCAACTGTAACCACATGGCCCAGGCAGTAGAAACTGTAATCACATGGCCCTGGTAATAGCTAATGTAACCACATGACCCTGGTAATAGCTAATGTAACCACATGGCCCTGATCTATTACCACCTGACCCTGGTAGTAGCAACTGTAACAACAGAGCTCTACAAACATCAGCAATAGCTATGCTGAACATATTTATTATTAAGGACGTTACATTTTTATTTCCGCGTTATATATTCAAGCTTACAGTCTCAAACAATTGATGGATAAATAAAGAGCTAAAACACTTGTGGCAGTTTTTTTCATTTTTTTATTTTTTGCAGTAACATTTAATATGACCTAGACCCATTCAGTTATATTAAAGATGTAGTAAATGTTAAAGCACACTATAGGAGTACACAAAGTAACAAAGAATAAACAAACAAATATCTGAAGGCAAGTGCCTAACTACTATAACCACCTTTATTTAAATGCTTCTAAACTCATGCCATTCTCGATTTTTCTTGGTGTAAAAAAGTAATAATATATCAAGGTTTATATGTAATTATGTTACTATATAAATGTGGGTGTTTTTTTTCAATATATATTTTTTTTCATATTGAACACTTTTCCTGATAAATATTCGGAATTAAAATTTTTCTCTCAAAAACAGTCTCAATCAAACCAATTGCATAATTTTCAACTATTTATTTTATTTCATTACCGTAGGGCTCTCTGGTTTACTAAATTTTTATACAGGTTCTATATTTGTCATCAACTCATCCGGGGCAATATATTCATACTGTGTATCATTGTGAAAATTTTAAGTTAACTAAATTTTTGGTGGGAAATGTAAAAGAATAAAATTCTACTTGCAAAATCTTAAAAGCAACTATACATAATATATTTATGATCTTAGAAAATAAAACTCAAAATGTGAAAAATGAATAAAGGTCTTTAAACTCTTCTTAGATAACATCTCAATTTGACATTACACTGTTTTTTGTTTTTGGTTTCATTCTTTTCCAGATCTATGTGGACAGAATTTTAACACTTGAAAACTATAGATTTCACTCATAAAGATATTGAACTATATTTCCATCTAGCATAAATTTAACTGAATTTGTATCGCGATAAAATTTATTTTACAAAGTAACAATAAGTCATGGATTCTGCCATTTAATTTATGATATACTACCTAAATGATAAACTTAGCTGATTTGTCTTTAAAGATTTATTTATTCACTAAACAGACAAGTTTCCTATTGAATTAATTATCATTCACCTATGATGCATAAATAATTAAAAATGCCATTTCTTAAGTTTCAGTTTATAATGTATTTCTTGTTTTAACACTAGAACCGGACTTTACGATGGATTAAAGGCTCGTATAGAATAAAGATAAATATATCTAACTCTGCCCGTTACAGAAATAAAAATATATCGGTAAAAATCAAGAGAATAAACAATAGAGTACTTTACAGGCAAGGACAAAAAACAATACAACCTCCTTGTTTACACAGTACAAAATGAGATTACTAGATGATGGTCGGTGATTGGCACAATTACACTTCACACTTGCATTACTTAAAAACATTAACTCGAGTTCCTATCATATTTTCATTCCATGCATGCGTACATTTCTGTGACTTTTATACTTAGAAATATAAGCCATTTTTTACTCAAGTATTCAAATCAAACAAGGAACTTCGTACACATGTTCTTTTATAGCATACATATTTACAGAGACATAGTGAAAGAGCAAAAATTATTGTGGTTTTTAAATAGGCTATTTCTGTCCCATAACCTATAAATAGAAATAAAATTCCAATAAATCTCTAACATCTACGAATAGAGAAAAAAAATTCAACACCAACTAGTTTACAAGTCACTTAACTTAGTTGGAGTTAAGTTTGAATCGTCTTGCCATACAGTATTTAAATAATATCATCAGCCATTTCCTCGCAACTGATCTATACATTTCCAACTGCCACTTTATCATCAACAGACTGTAGATGGGAGCATTATATTTATAGCAGATGATGGAATACTGGGTGTAATAAGCTTAATAATGATGACATGTACAAATGAAAATATTGCAACTTTTTCTGAGGTTCTACAATGATGAGGCCATAAATGATGTCATATGTGATGTCATCGATGATGTAATATGTGATGTCATACATGAAACCATGCATGATGTCATTTATGATGTCATATGAAATGTCATACATAAGAGACCATAGATGATGTCATTAATGATGTCATATATAGAGGATATTGAATGAGTGTAAGTTCAATACTGAATTTATTGCACAAGTTGAATAAAATGATATTATGCCAGCCTCTGGCAAGCATAATATTATTTTATTCAACGAGTGCAATAAATTCAGTAATGAACTTACACGAATTTAATATTCTATTTATCACATACCCAAAATAAAGACCGTTTAAAGTGAAATAAGAGTCATTTTTCTTTGACGCGCCTATATTATAACGCTAACATTTAGCGCGTCTTTACACTTTGTTTGTATAACGCTAATGACGTCACGTCAAAATATATTCACGGCCGTGCAATACCATATTTACAGAGTCGCAAAATCGGCACAGGTATGTGATAAATGAGGTCATATTCAATGTCATATATGATATTTGAAATGATGTCATTAAAGATATTTATATATGATGTCATAATATATGATAAGCATTAAAATGCCAATTAGCGGCAAATCAAATCTAATTACAATAAAATATGACAATAAAATGCTAAAGGAAAATTACTATTTGGTATACCTACTCGAACTAATGTGAATAAAGTAAAAATTTAGAAACATAGCAAAAAAGAAATCTATTAAGTTCAGTAACCATCATAAGTATATTTACTATAAGTACAAAATCTAACTTAAAACTTCCCGCCCTTTTCCCTAACATTTTTTTTAAGTACGTTTTCAAGAAGTCAAATTAAGAATGATTGTAACTTATTAAATATGTAAATATTTGTGTTCACTAAAGATATATAAATTGAGGAAATTTTATGTCAGTTTCTACAACACTAGCACACAAACTGGAAGATTTCATTTCAAATAAGGCCACTTCAAGCTCTAATACTAAAGTTAACAATGTGTATTTAGCTACAAAAAATAGTCTACTTTGTAATTTTGATTATAGAATAAAAACAATAATCCTACCAATCAACAGGAGACCTTATTTAAAGGGATGTAACTCCATTTAAATATTACCAGAGTGGAGCCCCTTTATTATCCTAATATTCTGTAAGATATTAATTGAAATATGAGTATCTGTAAACTGTAAAAATATGGAGTTTTTCACAGAAGGTTTGTTAACATGGAATTGTACTAGTATACGTCAGAAATTATAATTTAACAGAGAGAAGTAAAACCTTTTGTCCAGTCAGACTATACTTGTGACAAATGCCTTGCATTTATTGCTTCTTATTTTTAGAGATAAAGCTTGCAGATAGACGGCTGAAACACAGACAGATGGACAGACAGTGATATGAACACCAGCCTCTGCATCAGAAGCATGAATAATGTAATATGAACTTTTTTGAATAAGAAAAAAATAATGCTTATTAAATTATGTTTTAACACTTAACATTTTACATAAAACCTAACACGGAGACTTTTAATATTACAATTCTTGAGTATATTAAAAACAAGGAATGTGTATGATGTAAATTTTGTGTAGTTAGAATTTCAGACAGGTCATACATATTACATGTATTAAACACATTACACGTTTACACATTACACATTTACACATCAGGGCATATTTCTTCACTGTCAAAGCTTAATAATTATATAAATCTTAATTCCTTTCTATATACTCTATAAATAAAACTATTTTTTTAAATATAAAGAGATGAATTTTATCATTTTCTTGGCAAAATAACATTATTCAGTGCACAAAACCGTATCCACTATATAAATCCTTTCGGGGTTTTTTAACAATTGGAATTAATGGCAAGTTTGTTTGGGGTTTTATTTTGGCCAAGAACAAATTAGAATAGGAAAATGGTAAACACTTCAATTGAAAATTGGACATTGTTTACATAAATTCTTTCCAAGGACTAGAACACTGCTATTTATTCACTACTGAAACTATACGGCATGCATAGCACATGCATGCCTCAATATCTTATCTGTCTTATAATTCACACAAGTCTTAAAGTTCAATCTCTAGCAAGATAACTAAAATATCACAGCAATTCAAAATAATTAACGCAAAGACTTGGAATCAAATTCAAGCAAAAACTAGTTTATATAATCTTGTCAAAAATATTATAGAATACAACATTTTTCCAACACAAAAAGATTACTATTTATATCCTAAAAATCTAATCTACAGAGATTCAAACTAACGAAAAAGGTAGTGTCTTTTGAACATATCTACGTAACAGCAAATTTTCTATTATTATTAACTTCGTTAATTAAGTTTAAAAAAAAATCAGGATAAATCAAGAATATATTGCAACTTCTTCCGGTCTTCCATGGCAACGGAAGACACTTGATGGCTATTAGAATAACTTTTCAGGCACCATGGTACAGTCCCTAATAGTCTTACCAAGCTGGCAGCTGGCCAAAAAATTATATTAAGTTTTACTCAACCACATTTGCCCCATATGCCAAATCTATATAACATAATATCATCTTTTTTCATGTCAAAGAAAAAAGAATACTTGATGTACGTTTTTAACAGAACTGCAAAATAAAATTATATCTACTATAGACCATAACATTCATTATGTATGCATATTGCAATTGGAAATTCCAAGAAAAAAGGTTTAAATCTTTGCATTTTGTTCACTTTAATTCAACTATGTGACTAACTCCTCAATCATCTTTGAACATCTACAATGCTTGTTGTGTTGTTTTTTTTCCCCTTGTTTATTTCTGAAAATCATTAACATATACACACCTTCCATAATCTATATCCCCATAACTCGCATACATATGTTCTGCATTTAAATTTGTACATTATAAAACATAACTTCATGCAATGAACATTTTTTTTTTCAACATAAACATTTTTTTTAATGCAATTAACATTTTTTTCAACATAAACATTTTTTTTTTCATCATCATTTTTGGATAAACATGACAGGTAGCATTTTCAAAAAGACGAAAAAATAAAAATAACATAAACTAAACAAAACAGCACTTTTTTTCATAATTAACATAAATAGAAATGATAAAAATTATAATTTATTAACAGAAAAATAACTAAATGGGTATCTTGGTCATAAAAATGTTTTAATTGTATGATACATTCTGTGGCACCGATATGTATTTCACTCTAATCTCTACATCTGAAAAATTTTGTTTCATTAAAAATTCTCAAATTAAAACCAATGTTAATCTTGTCATATTAACAACACTTCATCTGAAACACTGAAGAAGAAAAAGTTTATAACTTCAATAGGTAATAATGGTAAATCTAAAAAAAAAAATGTCCCTTTGCGTTGAGGCTAGTTTCATCACAGAACTATTTGACTGGTCAATCCTAAATCTGTTATCCAATCAGGAGTCAGTATTCAAAATTGTTCACCAAATTACTATTGGTAACATAAAGAAATGTTAAGGTCCTTGGCGTTATACGTTCTGGGACTTTCAGGACACATTATTTTCATCAATAAATAAAATTGTATGTAAAAAAACGCCAATCTAATAACAAATTGAATGAAATACAAATCAATGCTAAAGTATGCAACATAAAACACTAATCATGAAAACTCAAAATTCTCTTTCCAACTTACAAAGCAATAAATAAACAAACAATACAAAAAGAAACAGTATTCCATTATAAAACATAAAGCACATTCTTTTTGCAATACATGTATATTGAATATAAGTATTATAATTTATGGACTATTTTTATTGTGGCAAATATATCTGGTAGGTCAGATATCATGGTAAACATACATATATATAATAATTAATTTTATAAAAACAACTTCGGCATTGACAAAAAAATAAAATCATGTTTATTTCAAATTTCCCATCCGATCTTTTCCCCCCTTACTTCTCTTCCCTGTCAACTGGAGCCTAAAGAAGGAAACAAAAAGGTTAAATAGGAAAGTCAAGTTGTTTTTTATTTTCAAACTCCCCCCACCCCCATATATTAAATTCTCCCTCCTCGATTCTCCTGTCCGTCTAAGCCGCAAACAACTAAATCAAAAGAAGTTGATACCAGATGTTTTGCTATTTTTTCCCATAATTTTTAAATTTACACTTCTACGTACATGTATAATGTTACCACATTGAAATTGAAAATAAACATGTTTTTAATTGCCTTGTGTTTTTTGAACAACTCACTAGATATAACTTTAACTGACAAAGAAAACAGGCTTCTATATGCATTTTAATAAAGCGAAAAAACGAAAATCAAACAAAACAGGTGTTTTTAAATGTTGATATATATATATAATATATACTCAATGTACATGACCTTAATTTAACTTTTTCTCATTTTTCAACTGTTGATTTCACACATTTAAACAAGACAGTGGAAAAAAAACTTGTTTATATGAGAATTTTATTGCAATAATATGATCTTATACTCAATTCACGTATCAACACACTGTTCTGTCATATAAAAACCTGTATCAGAGACTGTTATCTAGCGAAAAATGTTGTTGGTTTTTTACATATATATTTTTTCTCTCTCTCTGCATTTATGTCAGCAGACTGAAATCATATGAACACAAGATGTGTCTACACATTCCTTATTCTCCTCAAATTTGATTGGCGGAGAGCACTGTCACATGAATTTTGAAAGAGCCAATCAGATGGCAGAAAATCAAGTCACATAATCACTGGTGGGACTGATTTAATTTGGCTCATTCTTATTTAAAAATGGTGTACTTTAAATATAAACAAAAATGATCACAGGATTGACCAATCAGGAAGCTTTATTTAGTCACATGGTTTAAAAGCAACCAATCATGATGTAGAACTTGGTCCATTTGGATTCACATCTGAATGTGCTCTTTTTGTCTGCTTCGTGGATTTTGTCATTTTTTCCAGTTCTGCATGCACCCCAGCAGTATCTATTAAAAGGAAAAAAGATACAGTTAACCAATAATAGTTTTAGGGTTTAAATTGGCAAGTTATTTATTTAAACATTGTTTTTCCAAATTATTGGCATGTGAATAAGAGCCATATTTTTCAAATTTATTAAAATAAATTTGTCAAAAGCATAACCTCTATCACACATTATCACACATCTGTCCTGTTGGATTTTTAGATCAGTCCATTGATAACCCTTACACTAATTTATTTCTGAAACTGTGTATTGCGTATTTTCAAGGTGGGCCACCAACAATAAAAAGCCTGGTCAAACTGAAAGCATGTACACACTGGTGTCATTATATACTGGTGCCATAAACTGTTCACAACAGGTTCAAGCTTCCATGGGGGTAAATATATAGAATTTATATAGAATTGCTAACTAAGTCACTACAACATAATAAATTGCCTAGTCACACTAAATCTCTTTAAAAAGTGCATGGTACTTCAAGCATTCATTGGATTAAACTAAGGGATTAACAATTATCAAATTAAGAAGTCAATGGTAAATATTCTTGTCAGACTGAACAAATGCTGGCCTAGCTTTATAATCATTAATGTAGACACAAGCTAGTCATTTTTATTGTTAGCATTTAGGTGTAACATATACCAGGTCTGGTTGTGCCTGCTGCTCCAGTTTTTTTGTTCAGTAAACTGTTGAAGAAATTGGCCAGCATTCCTTCACTCGTGTTTGGTCCACCAGCCTTATTGTCCATCTGAAACATTCCATACAAATATATTATGATTTCAATTCTTTCATCAAATACATTATCTGCAGGATTATTTCAATAATAAACCAGGTTCATCCTTTTAAATTATCATATTAATTGTCACAGGTTCTTTTTAAAGAAACAAATCACTCTGAAAAATTATTGTGCAAAATTGTTTTCATGACCATATCTTGTGTGCAAATTCAATCAATTTACAATCATAAACCCAGAATTTTTTGTTATGTTCATTGTCAGTCAAGTTAAACAAACACTCTCATATGGCATCTTTCAAGCCATACTAGTGGAAGAATAGTACAGGTACAAATTCACGCATTATTTCTGTATCTAGCCAGTATTTGAGTAAAACCACAGACCTTCTATAAGCTAATTTGGCGCTTTGTATGAGAACAACGCAGTACAGTTTTTATATTACACTAAGTAACATATTATTATCATCTCTAATAATCATATGGAAACTGAAAAAAAATATTAGCAGATCAAGTTACAAGTCATGCTGTTCAAAAGAAAAACAGTAAGAACAGAATAGTGTCAATTAAGATGCAAAATTTCATTTTATATGACTTCTATTAAGCAAAATTTTATCAGAAGAACATCAGCAAATATTGATGAGGATTTCACAGACTAATTACTCTTTATGACAGTAAAACTTTTACTACACTTATTATCAAAGCAAACCAAATTAACAATAAAATCAAAATAACTTTTGTTCAAAGCAAACAGATCTTTGTACAAAAGAATTTATTCCATTTTGATATTTATCGAGATACAAATCAATGATTTTATACCCAAGTTTTATCATCTACACTAGCTTATATCTAGTTTGCGAGGTCTAAAAATATTACAAACATATGAGCCGTGTCATGACAAAACCAACATAGTGCGTTTGCTACCAGCATGGATCCAGACCAGCCTGCGCATCCGCGCAGTCTGGTCAGGATCCATGCTGTTCGCTTACAAACACTATTACAAGTTAAGAAAATGATAGCGAACAGCATGGATCCTTATCAGACTGCGCTGATGCGCAGGCTGGTCTGGAATCATGCTGGTCGCAAACGCATTACGTTGGTTTTGTCGTGACACAGCTCATATATTTTCTCTACACTAAATCTCAAGTTATTGTTAAAATTTAAACACCAATTCACTTCAAAATTAGCAAATTGATACACAAATACATTTTATAAACATATTCCAGTATTTTGACATTACATTTTCTAAGATAATCCCCCACCATCCTGGTATATCATACATGAAATATACAATATAGATAATATCATCTTGTGTAATATAAAAGGTCATTCTAAGACCATATATTAAACTACTTTGATTACATAATCCTATATATATGAGCCTTCTCACTCTCCCCTTGGCATTCCAACACTATATATTATAAAATTTCAAAACAAGTGACAAGTCTATTATCCAAGCACTTAATTGGATAAATCCTGACTGTAATTTGAAATTGACCAATGAGAGAGCTCAATTTCCAGACTGGCTGCCTAATTTTTATTTATGAAGTATCATGATGATAAAGCATATGACTATATATAGAAGATGGTCAAAGTTACTGATAGTTACATGATTCAATGAAATATAATGCTTAAGTTTACAATATTTCAATGGCAAAACCTACTTTTTTCTTTAAATCTTACTTAAAATGTTACTTCTGTTAAGACTATAAATATTGTATTAAATTTTTTTCAGATCTCTTGCCAATGTAATCTCATGTTTTTCACTTCTTTAATTTGATAATTTAAGGTTATGTTTTGTCACAAATATGAACTAAAATATATGTGTTTACATTTTATTGTGAAAAAATCATTAAACTATTTTTACTAAAAGTAAACTTGTTGACATAAATAGATTTTAGGTAACAGTAGATTTTGCCATTTTCTGAAAAGATCAGCATATAATACTTATGTAAGTAAACAGCCAAACAGCTAGATTAAAGCAATACATTCCGGTAACTTACCAATTTCTACAAAAATCAAAATAAGTAATTTTCAAAATATAATACAATTTCATAAATAATGTGCATAACAAAAATAAAAGCAAAGCATGCAATCAAACAATTTATTATTCCTGAGATAAAATTATGGAAATTAGCATTTTATGTAGTCTTAAAACAAAGTATTACCAAGCAGGTGCCAGTCAGTTTCTATGTGTATTTATCCTTGAATAAGTCACTCAAGAAGAATCATTAAATAGCCATACTCTTTGATTTACAATCCAATAAAAATTTTCTCATCTTTTTTTTTTGTCATACAACACTTATGTTGTAACAGAATTTTTGTTTAAACTTAAAATAATTCAGTTTAAATGTCTATAAAACTTTCTCTACCAAAAGCCTGCAATCAACTTAAATTTGAACCAGTCTCTTTTTTTTACAAATAATTAAAAAACTATATCTTTAATATAAAACCTAACAGGATTTGTTTTCTTTGCAAGTATACATGTATAAGTAACCACAAGCAAACAAGGAACGAAAGATGCTGCTGACAATAAGGGAATTGTATGGAAGCATATTCCGACATTTTCTAACGGCAAACTTACCTTCTTGGGAGAGACCATAGAAGGGTTTGGTGTAGAAGCAGCTTTCTGTAAACCCGGTGAAGCTTTCGGCGTCGATCCCGATGGTTTTGAGGGAGACTCCTGTAAAATTCACACTTTATAATTAAACCTCAATTCTTAATTTATAAAATGATATTATGAACACAGGCATTTACCTAGAACTGAACACTATTTCAATGTAATATTTTACTGTAACAACAGTTTATTTTTTATCTATCTCCATTCATATGCGGCTTAAAATTTATTTTCAATTTGATATTTCTACTGATCTTTTAAGTTAGTAACGTTAAATGGTTACTGTCTAGTTACTAAGATGGTAAAGCAAACGTTATGTCTTGCGGGACATGACTCCCTAACATGACAAGCAATTGAATACTATGTAGGGTATATAAATCTAAAATAATCTTAATGTCAAATATATAACCATGCTGAATTCAGGTTACAGACACAGTTCATTGCTAATGCAATAGTCTATTGACAGGATAAAAAGAATTCAACATCAATTACTTAAATTGGACAATTAACTGTGTAAACGTTTAGTTCAACTGCAAGGTAAGCATTTGCTGGTGTAGCTATGTACATGTAGCTAGCTGCATATGGCTAGAATTATCAGCACTCCTGGTGACCTAAAGATTTAATGACGTACCCCAGCAGCACCTGGTGATGGTGCTTTACTTAAATATGACTGTTGTTTCATGAGGAACACTTGAACATCTTCTACTGTCACCTCCGCATCTCTCTGTACTGGCTGAATAATTATAACAAAGAAAATCATTAAAAATCAATTGTAACGCACATATGATGGATAGAGCTTAAAATCATCTCAAAGGGACTGTAACTCAGACAAGGACAAGAATCAAACATAGACAAACCTGTAATATTTTATGTACAAGAATCTGGAAGAAATTTGCTTATTTTTGTATAAGAGTTCCTATGACTGCATATTCTATGTCCATAGAAATTGGCTTCAACTTGGACATGAACAAGAAATTAATATATACATTTCTGTTTTTACTTTTTTAATTTGTAAAAAGACTGCTGGCTATTTATTCTTGGTTCTAAGTCTACTACGTTTATAAGACAAGGGCTATATATAAATAGTTTTATTACGTCTTTAACTTGACAGCACCTCATGATTATTGCTATGTCTTGAATTAAATAAGGAAGATATTTTGAAATAAAATATCAATTGATGAAACACTATCACTACACTTATTTTCATCATCTTTAACCTTCAGTTTTCAATGCTAAAAACCTTTTAATGTGCTTTACAAATGCAGCTTTATTCAGCAACAAATGTGACAGTAAGATAAGCTTACCTTCCTCGTGATAGGTTTTGATATAACATCTTCAAATGATTCTTCTGGTTTTATATTCTGTAAGTTTTCATGTAATATAGCTATCTTTTTATCATTATCCCAGCCTGTTGGTCTGAAATTAAACCATGACATTGTATAGTGAAGTTATTTTATATAGCAAAGCAAATAATTGATAAATCTAAAGACATAATCCTTCATTGCTTTTAAATCTGTAGATGTAATCTTTGAATGGATTTCAGCAGATATTATGCAATTCTGGTCATATCTCTTCACTCATTCCAAATCCACCTAACTCGCTCTCCTGGATAATTGTAAATATTGTTTCTTCAAGTGACCATCTACTACTCGCACATGATTTCTGAATCAGCGGCAGGAGGCAAATGACCATGAGTCTCAGTCACAGATAAATCGTCAGGGTTGGAGAAATTTTGCCTCACAGAGGATCAAACCAGTAACTCTTGTATTACAAATGTGATGCATTCCCTAATCCCTATTGAGCCAAGTGGGCAGACATATAACCCTTGAGCAATATACAAGTTAATCTTAAATAATATCTTTAACATAGATCATAATATCATTACACATAGTCTATTCAGTTATAATTTTATTCAGTGCCTTCATTACAATACACTACACATTTGCTTCCTTCTGGCAAAGTGTACAACAATCTTAAGTTTTCTTTCAATTTTCAACTTTGCAGTTCTTACTTATTGATCAAAAATATATTCTCGAAATAACCCACACCATCTGAGTATGCTGAATTTTTCTATTCTTTAAAATAGTTAAATCATTGTAACATATAATGAGTTGTTTCAGTCTTACGTGTTTGAATAACTTTTTTACTTGTTCATGAAGGGTTAACCATATACTTTTACTTTAATCATTCGCGTTTTACACCCAATTGATGGATTAATTGAATTGGTTATTGGAAATTTTTTGCCCAAGTCTAATATCTCAGACTTACTAACAGGTCTCAATAATTCATCAGCTGCTATATAATACTTACATGAACACGCTGTCTTTTTCAACAACATATGCAGGCATTGTAAAAGGAAAGCCATAGATTCTATGTAATAAATATTTATGTAGTAAGTCACAATTCTTTTCTTCCTTTACTGACGTATAAAACAATGCAGCACCATCTGTCGATCCGTTAAGGAAAACTGTTGTAACAATGTGCAATTTGAACACATGAATCGGTTTCCCTCCCTCTCACATGGCTAAATACATACAATCCAAACAATGTTAATTGATATTGAATTGCTACACAACACCTGTATCTGTTTTTTGCACCTTGTTTTGTGAAATGTATTTATATTGATTAATCTAGTTTGTTGTGCAACAGAACAAAGCAGTATTATACAGCTCATCTAATTACCTAAGTTAACTCAATACTTTAACAGAGAAATGATGTCATTCTCCACTATATTGCACATACAAAATTGAAAATAGCATGTTTGTTGTTTTTAATGCACTTTGTGAAATTTGAATTTATACCTTTCTACACTGTATGTTCCCACAAAAAAAATCTGTTAAACAGAAAACTCTTCAAAACAAACAACAAAACTGAATTTGAAAATATTAAAATGGAATTCAAATGCATCATTTGCATATTAAACTTTTCAACCAAAAATTGAAAATGACAAGAAATGAAATATGTGGCATGAAATAAAGGATAGAAAATGTCATTTCCAAGAAGCCTAAACATCTATTTCTAATTAAGATAATCATACTGCTAACAGAATAAAATGTATACTTCAAAAGAAACTAAATAATTACAACTAAATAAGTTCAATAACCAACATCTGCCATCTAAATGAATATATTTCATTATAAACAAGTCGGATATCACAATAAAACAAAAATATTCAAGCTTGTTTGACCAATTACACTTTCACTAATGATAACATATATATGCCTCGGAATTTGTGTAATTGACTAGTCTTGCTTTGATTCTGGAATCGTCCATTTTTAATTTACTGGATCTCAATGTCTATATGCTAAAATTATATAGTCAATAACATTTAACACATAGCCTCATGTAGAAATGTGTGCGCTGACCTGGTTCAATGCTGTACTATATGCTTTACCATCGCAGCTAGCCCTTAAGGAATTTTAATTTATCTTTGATCTTGCGTACAATAATAAAGGATACAATGCAAACAGAAGTTTCTTATATGCATTTGAATAAAATCGAAATGTTCTTCTCTAAAATCATTTTCTTTTTCTAAAGTCGAGATTGCATCTGCCTGAAATTAAAAATCAAAATTGAGCCGCGTCAGGACAAAACCAACATAGTGTGTTTGCGACCAGCATGTATCCAGACCAGCCTGCACATCTGCGCAGTCTGATCAGGATCCATGCTGTTCGCTTACAAACCCAATAACATGTAGAGAAACTGATAGCGAACAGCATGGATCCTGATCAGACTGCGCGGATGCGCAGGCTGGTCTGGATCCATGCTGGTCGCAAACCCATTATGTTGGTTTTGTCGTGACATGGCTCAAATCTAGAGAATAAGATAAAAATCAACTTTACATAAACCAGCAATATACAAAAAGAAACGAGAGCTCTTGGTAGGACAGCGTGCTCAACTATTCTCAGCGCTTGATAGTAAAAACAAGCCTGGATACTGTAGAAGTAAAACAAGAGCCCAGATGATGTAGGATTTTTAAGTTAAAAACATTTTTAAAAAGGCCATAATTCTGTCAAAATCAATGTTAGAGTTATGGGACTTGGACAGTGACATCAAGGAAGTTACTTGAAGATTTAAAGATGCACCACCATTTAATGCACAATCATGAATCCTCAAAATTAAAATTTTTAGAATATATAATATCAGATACAAGTACTAACAGAGAAAATACTTTAATAGACTAAATTTTTTCCATAAGAAGGAGTCCATAACTTTCAGCATAATAAAGCTAATATATATAAGTTTAAATTAAACAAGAGTGAAAAGTTACCTTTGTTAATACAACTATAATTGGTATTCCTAAATTTTGTGCTAGAATATTTTCACCAAGAGGTAACAAGACTTTATCATCCTCTCCGGTCGGAGCTTGCGGATGTAGAGGGTTGACATCTCGCCGTAAAGGTGCTTGACTTACTGTACTGTTCTCATCTGGTTCAACATACTCCTGGTAGAATCTTATTACTGTCAAAATAGTAATAATACACTGGTCAATAAATGATCTCATCATGATTATAAATACGCTGCTTGCCTCCAGATATGCCAAAATATTTCAATACAATCAAACTCTGTGTAAAATGTACTAAGATTTTAGGAAAAATAACAAGATTCAAGATTAAGTATATTTTTCATGCTATGTGAGATTAACAATCAATTTTTCACTATTTATAACCATATTTCTATTGTGTGACTAATATAGTAAAGGTTATTTTGAACATTTTGACCACATTTTGTTAAGTTATGTGGGTTGTGGGTGCTCTTTATAATGTGTATATTGCTTTCTTTTGGTTACTTCACAATATATATTTCTTTTAAATATATTTTCAAAATTTTCATGAAAATTAGCATGAATCTGGAGGCTGCTGCTTTAACAAACACTGATTAAAATTAGTTAAGCTGAACTTTGTTCTAACTAAAAAGCCTAATAAATGCATAGTGAATTTGTATGTGCCGAATAAAAACAAATATTAATTTAAGGCACATGGTGACTTTTAAACTTTAAAGCTTTCTAGATGAAGTAATTTACTTACTGGTACACATCTCAATTGCTTAGAAAATTCAATCTCTTAAAATTTCTGGAGTAGTTCAAACAACTTAAGAAATAATTTCATTTAAATCAATTTCAATTGGTTTTCCTATCATGATTATGATATGGAAGTAATAAGGCTACTTTACTTTCAGGGTTATATCATGTCTAAAAAGCAAAGACAGTCTTAATACTACATGTAGTTCAAGATTAACTTAAAACTTATAGTTTAGATACTTGAAACATTATATCTTGTATAATCACTTTCATTTATATGAGAAGGTAGTAAATGATATATTTTCCTTGCTAGTTAATTACTCCTATTTCAAGAGTGATTTCATTCCATCAATGACTTCATAATAACTTGACAATAAAAACAGATATCATGGCCAAAAATATAAACAAGAGCACCGCTAGGCGGAGCATTATATGCCCGAAAGTGTTTTTTTTTTAATAAGGATGAAGCATTTATAAGACATGGGAATTAGCTGTTCATCCTATAAAATTTTACAGCTGTAGGTTGATTAATACTCAAGTTATTAATAATGACCTTAACCTTTGACCTTTTGACCCCAAAATCAATAGGGGTCTTCTACCTTATATGGACAATCATCCTAAGAAGTTTGAATATTGTTGGCCAATTGGAACTTTAATTATGCTCTAGAAACTGTTTTCAGTATTAAGGTAAAAGTGACATTGACCTTGACCTTGTGACCCCAAAATCAATAGGGGTCTTCTACCCAATATGGACAAAATCATCCTACGAAGTTTGAATATTGTGGGCCAAATGGAACTTACGTTATGCCCCGGAAACTGTTTTTGGTTTTAAGGTAATTGTGACCTTGACCTTTGACCTAGTGACCCCAAAATCAATAGGGGTCTTCTACCCAATATGGACAATCATCCTATGAAGTTTGAATATTGTGGGCCAAATGGAACTTAAGTTATGCTCCAGAAACTGTTTTCAGTTTATAGGATATAGTGACCTTGACCCTTGACCTTTTGACCCCAAAATCAATAGGGGTCTTCTACCTAATATGGACAATCATCCTATGAAGTTTGAACACTGTGGGCCAAATGGAACTTAAGTTATGCTCTGGAAACTGTTTCCAGTATCAATGTAATAGTGACCTTGACCTTTGACCTTGTGACCCCAAAATCAATAGGGGTCTTCTTCCCAATATGGACAATCATCCTATGAAGTTTGAACACTGTGGGTCAATTGGAACTTAAGTTATGCTCCGGAAACTGTTTTCAGTATCAAGGTAATAGTGACCTTGACCTTTGACCTTGTGACCCCAAAATCAATAGGGGTCTTTTGCCCAATATGGACAATCATCCTATGAAGTTTGAACATTGTTGGTCGAATGGAACTTAAGTTATGCTCCGGAAACTGTTTTCAGTTTTAAGGTCATAGTGACCTTGACCTTTGACCTTTTGACCCAAAAATCAAAAGGAGTCTTTTACCCACTATGGACAATCATCCTATGAAGTTTGAACATTGTGGGTCCATTGGAACTTAAGTTATGCTCCGGAAACTGTTTTAAGTATCAAGGTAATAACGACCTTGACCTTAGACCTTGTGACCCCAAAATCAATAGGGGTCTTCTACCTTATATGGACAATCATCCTATGAAGTTTGATCATTGTTGGTCGAATGGAACTTAAGTTATGCTCCGGAAACTGTTTTCAGTTTAAAGGTCATAGTGACCTTGACCTTTGACCTTTTGACCCCAAAATCAATAGGGGTCTTCTACCCAATATGGACAATCATCCTATGAAGTTTGAACATTGTGGGCCAAATGGAACTTAAGTTATGCTCCGGAAACCAAATTGCTAACGGACGGACGGACGGACGTACGGACGGACAGACAGACAGACAGACAGACGGACGCCAGGGGGTATAACATAATATGCCCTTTCGGGCATATAAAAACAAAAAACGTGAAAGTGTGTATATAAAATTATAATATGAACATTTTCAACAAACATAATACTTACAACTTTGTTCATAATCCCTACGATCTTCTGGTGATATTTTCAACCTGTCTATATGCTGACGTAGCACTGATACCCATTTCTCTATAGAATCCAAAATAGCCCATGGACAAGCCATAGAGGCTACTAATATGACTAGAGTATGTTCGAAATTCTCCTCTGTGAGAGCGTACTTTAACAACCCTGTATGAGTGGGATCTCCATCTAATGCCCATATGCCCAATCTTCCTTGATCTGGAATAAATTCGCAGGAAATTACACCCCCAATTAAACAATTTTTTTTTTTTGAGGTTAAGTATATTTTTTTTTATTTTCAGGTTAAGTATAAATCAAAATGTTTGAATAGGTGTGAACTACTGGAAAATGAGTGTGTAAAATAAACTTCAAATGACAATGCCCTCATGCATGCTTTATTTCACATTTAATATATGTATTAGTCAGAGTGCTAAAAAAATATTTGAGTATTTCTCACAAAAGGAATTTTGGTCCAACAAGATGCAATGGACAGTCTTACATGTGAAATGCAGAGTCAAGAAGCAAGGTAATTAACTTAAAGAAAAAACTTCTCAACAAATCAACATTTTATTAACACAAATTAATTCCTTCATTTTAACACTGCCAATACTGGAATCACATGCGAATGAAAACTATTGATTTCTGTCTGCACCTGTCTTGAAGTGTTAAAATCGGTTCTATATATTAAGCAGTTTACATAATAATATTAAATAAGACACTTTTACTTTGATATAAATAAATGACACAAAAACTGTTTTGGGTTTTTCAAACTGCATCTTCATTTACTATTTCATTATGTAAGCACAACACATTAGAGAATTCAATATTCCCAGCAGAGCTTACGCAGAACTTAAATAACCTAAATCATTTATTACCCTCATCAATTCAACAAACAGCAATGAGGGTGATAGTCAATCACATGACAATAAATGAGCCGCGTCATGACAAAACCAACATAATGCGTTTGCGACCAGCATGGATCCAGACGAGCCTGCGCATCCGCACAGTCTGATCAGGATCCATGCTGTTCGCTTACAAACCCTATTACAAGTAGAGAAACTGATAGCGAACAGCATGGATCCTGATCAGACTGCGCGGATGCTCAGGCTGTTCTGGATCCGTGCTGGTCGCAAACGCACTATGTTGATTTTGTCATGACACGGCTCAAATTTGATCTTTTTACTTTCTAGTATGTTTAAACTTACCATCCCTGTATTCATCTCTGACATTCAAGTAGTAATACTCCAAACCTATGCCCTTCTTAGGCTCTTCCACACCTTGTAATTTTGCTATCAATGTCGTCTTCCCACACTCATTATCTCCTAATATAATACAAAAATTTAAATGTCATAAATTGTCATGACATTTGTAATGCTGGTTTTGCTTATATTTTGTTGTTTTTTCTTATTTTGAAAATCAATGATCAATTTAATTGCCTAAAAAAATTAAATGACAGTATTCATATAGTTCTGAAATATCATAATTATAAGAAATCAATTAGTACTTTTTTTTAGATTTTTTTTATCTAAATCTATACTGTACATTCAACTGTTTGAAAGCATTCAAGTTCAAAACCAATTCTTAAAAATATCAAAGCAACATCTAGGATAAATATTATTAATAGCTTACCCTTTATCTATAGCTTATCATTTACTAAGTTTTGGAAAATTTACAACACACATAATTTTTATTTTTTAAACAAGGAGTACTATAGCACAGTTAATCTACTTTTAGTTCTTACATTAGTACAGCCTCCTTAAAAGCGTTTTAAGATCTTAAATGAAACATTACTGAACAGTAAGTATTGTGAACTTACTAAGGAATTGAAACTTTTTTTCAAAGTTTTTCCTTTATTTTATAAAATATAACAAAACTTACCTAAAACAACAACATTTTTTGTTGTAGGAAGTTTGGAAGCAGAGCTTGACTGAACCTCACTCAGAATGGTTGACCTGTCAAATGAAAAGAGAAACAAAATGAGAACTAAATCATGTATTTCCACTTGACAGCTACTGAATCTACCCATGTGACCAATACAGACCAAGATAAGCAATAATTTTAGTAATGTTTTTACCCAGAAATACTGAATGAATGCAGCTACGGAAAAGATCTAAAAGAATGGAAAACTGTCAGAAAAGGACCATCAGACAGACCAAACAACAGAGTTATCTTAGGCCTCAGCAGTGACATACAAGTGACAAGTTCCAGATCATATGACACCAATGTTTGCCTCACCAAAGGATCAAACAAGCAACATCTTGATAACAAAGCAAATTTATGCTTTCACTACTGAATTCAAAGGGCATACTTTGGCCAATGATTTTACATGTTTGAAACTTTGAGCACCAGTGAATTTAGACAACTGGTGAGAAATAACCCTTTATTTTTTGTTGTTAAGAAAGATGTATACCCTATATTTTATATATATGACACAGGTACCTTTACAAACAGAACTTCAAAAATATATATTTATTCATATAAAATATAGACGAATAAACTGTAAAAGCGTCCTGTCATCTTGCAGCAAATGTCAACACATAAATACTGCAAAATATGAAAAAAAGTGACATGGTTTTGCCACTCAGAGATATATTCCTTAGATAGTGTAAGGTATTAGGGACAGACAAAATGTCAATAAATGTAGAAAGTGCACAACAAGATTTCATACCAATTATTTAACAGTAATCAAGAAATGACAGCAATCTACCAAATTTGATGTGGATCCTAAATCACATTCGTCAGTTTAATTGAAATCAGTATCTTTTTATTTGCATGATTTCCTCTTAATTGTATATAGTCTCAGTATCCTGGTTGTACTATCTACCGGGAGTGTAAGCCTTATTAGGCTCACCATCATATAATACAAAAGAAATCTAATATAAAATAGTTATTTTCTGTAGGAGGTACCATTTTTTGATGAAAATAACAATCATCCAAAAGAAATTTTAACTATACATCAAAAAGATAGTTCTGTTAATAACCTCATATGAGTGGCAGCCATTTTTGTTTTAAGTACTTAATACCAGGAATGACTTTTAAGCAATCAATAAAAAGTTAAAAACATATGTAAATGGTCCATTACTGTTAATGATACTGAAGTTCTATTCAATATTTATCAGTTATCACACAGTAAAAGGGTAATAATTTGATAAGCATTTGCACACACATTCAAAATATCATGATGGGTCCAAATTGTTAGCAATATTACTGGTTTTTATTCGTAAAACCCATTTATGTGAATAGGGTTATTAAAACTTTGAATTTTCTTCAAAAAATGCTATATTTTGTATGAAATTAATGTGAAAAACACTTGCATACAAAAGAAATTTTTTATGTAAGTATTGTTTGTTATATCTGGACATTCCCGGTACAAAGTACCTCCCGGTATAAAGTACCTTGAGGATATAACTTATTAATATTAAGACTTTAAGTGGGTGGGGTAATGTTGGGTGTTGTCAGTTATTATTTCAAAACTTTTCATTGATCAAACAAATAAAGATATTAAGAACAATCGTTTCCTTCCGATAACCTCATAATATTGTTTAATCATTTTGTTTGCAAGTGAACATATGCGACGACAACTACGTGAAAATGCTAATTTCCAGTTTCAGCGGAAACAGAAATTCCGCATCCAAAAATACAAAATGCATTACTCATATACGTTTTTGACGTTACTGCAAAATAAGTACATTTTAAAAACCATTAAAATATTTCAAGAACTAATTTTGGTAAAACATATACCAAAGATTTTGTGACTCAGCGTCTTCATCCTCCCCTACAGAATTCATTTTATCGTTTCTTTCGCCAACGGGAGCCATATTGGATCGAAAGCTCCCGGATAAATGTGATGCACGCATGCGCACAATTATAAATGAATGGTCGTGGCAGGTGAATCATCACGAATGATGTCAGAGTAAGAAAGGTCAAGCTTATTTCTGTTATCAAAACTAAATATGCATTTATCAGCTGAGATTATTTATTAACTACTTTAAGATTTATCACGAATGTATAAAGTTTACAGCATGTGCATTTTAAGCAAAACTTGTTTCAACTTTTGTTTTGATTGTACCGGAAGTTTACATTTGACAGCAAAATACCGACACAGATCGAGGGGTTTTCTCAAAGTTGACAGTAATATGAAAGAAGTGAACATCCTGTCCAAATCGAAACATTTTGTTCTGTTTTGTGTTTAACCGTCAGGTAACTTTTGTTGGAACAAATAGCCTCATTTCAATGTATGTCAGTTTCTTCAAATGTCTCATAAAATGTACTGCACATGGCATGGGCTAGCCCAACAAATTGTGCGCTTAAAGGGCTTTTTATTAGAATGACAGACTATTCTCTCCCTTACCAGTTCCTCTCCCTGACGGTTCTCTCCCTAACCGTTTCCTCCCCTGACAGTTCTCTCCAAAATTTGAAATATGCAGACAGTTCTCCCCCAATTTTATTTTTATAAGTTATCATTTTAGTTTTGACTTAATCTAATTATATCTCTTAATGAAGATTATTAAAAGAATGTGTTTGATATTAATAAACTGCATTTTATGTTTTATGTTTATCAGCTGAAAAGTGTTTGTAAATTTAACACGTTTTTTCATTATTTTAATCCTATCAACACCTTTATTGTGAGAGATATAGATCATTGGACAGTGATTAATATACACCTGTAATTATGTTAAGGTCTAGCTTGTGATGTTCATTTATTTGTTTAATAGTGAATAAGGTGGAAACAAGTATGTTCTAGAAAATAAATAAACAACAACTGGTATGCAAACACATTCCACATTTACTTTTTTACGAAATTGATTTAAAAAATGTATTCATTAACTTGAAACAATATATAATACCAAATAACTAATATAATACTTATTCATCAACGCCTTTTCACAGCTATTTTAATCTAATCAACACCTTGATTCTTGAGTAATGAATTAATAAACACCTCAATTATCACTGACAGCAAACTTAATACATACATCATTACATGTGTGTATTGAACTCCTTTTATCATTATACAACAGTTTAGCAATTAGAATTTATTAATCATTTTTTGCCTATAAATTTCATTTTTATTTATTAAAAAAAAAAAAAATAAATAATATCTTATGATTATCCTAATCAAGTAAATTATTCATTAATTATTTCAATGACTAAACTGTCTAAACACATTAAAAAGTATACATTACATCTAATTAAAAAATCAGAATAATTAACTAATATCATCAATGATCAATTATTATTATATGTTAAAAAAAAAGTTTAAACATCTAAATACTTCAATAAAATATTTATTTCTCTAATTTATATTAATTTTTTATAATAAACTTACCGATTTATTGTTGCTGATGATGCTAACAAAATTGAAACTTGAATTAAACATCTGAATACTTCATTAAAGTATTTTCTCTCTAATTTATATAAATTTATAATAAACTTACCCATTTATTTATCATCTAAATACTTTAATAATAATGTAATAATAAAAATAAGAATGGGGAGGAACTGTCTGCTTATTTGCAAATATGCAGACGGTTCTCCCCCAAAATAGGGAGAGAACCGTCAGGGAGGAAACGTCGGGGTAGGAACTGGTAAGGGAGAGAATAGTCTGACTACCTTTTTATTATATAGACGATGGTGGCATAACATTTGAAGCCAAGGCCTCATGTGAATGGTTTTATTAATTTTGAAAGATCTGTTATAGTTTTGTTTTTAAAGTTCTTTTAAGATTTCTAACCTGACTGAGTGACATGAGAAACAACTTTTCAAAGGTTAATTTAATAAGGAGGAATGGTCAGTAATCTGTATGCAGGGAAACATAGGGTAAATGCAAAAGAACAGGTTACATATGTAATACAGTTTACAGGTGTACGGCCAATAGCCAGGTCAGGAACTTGTACCCCTAACCTGTACCCCTAACCCAGACCTCTGTACAACCTAGAAAAAGTAAACAACTTTATAAATATCCTTATATTTTTTATCAACAAATAGTTCCTTACAATATTAATAATCATTAATACTTCAGGGTTCTCGGGGACGCTTATTTCGGCGTCCTGGTATGTATGTTTATTACAGCTGGATCCAAATATTTCAAAGCAAGGATTCTACGTACACTTAATTTTGCCTGGGGAGGCATAAACATTACCGATTGTTTACAACCACAAATACGTCAGTGGGTGTCAAACTATAGGTAGGCAGTCCTATGCACATCGACCAGTGAAGCGATTAGCCAATCAGTGATAACGCTTTCGATCGTTATCACGCAATAGAGATCAGACTAATGTATACATGCGCTGTACATGTAATTACCAGATATAACACGATGTGATAATTTTTTATCTTTGATCAACAGTTGATTGGAAGTTAGCAAATTTTACTGACAAAAGGATAAACTATTGACTATTTACGCCGCAAGTTTAAAGACTGTTTTTTCAAATTACAAATGAGTGTAATTTTGAATTATTGTCAAATATTTTCTGCATTTTCTAGGCAAAACTTTGCTTTACTGTAGTTTCATTCTTGCAAAAATGTTCTATAGATAAGAGTATTAAGAATTTAAGATATTGTGCCGAAATGCCAGGACAACAAACCAAAATACACATTATCACATACGCTTTTCTTTGATATTTAGATTCTACAGAACATCGGCGATTTCACATTCGCCAGAAACCCTAAAATTTCGCAAAGGGCACAAAAATTCTCAGTTTCCAAGCCAAACATGTGAATGAATTGTTCCTTTGTTATTTAATCAACATTAAATTTTTAAATATCGATCTTCAATTTGCCCCCTTTTGAAGATATTTGCTATAATAATTGTCGATCGGATGAATCTCTTACACACTATGTGAAGCTGTACAGGATTTTCCTATTTATTCCGCTAAACGCTGCCTATATACATTAACGTTTTTTTTTACAAATATAAACTTTTGGTCTTTAGAGTTTACTTATTCAACCAGAATAAAATTTGATTTGGTATAAAAAATATGAAAAGAAACAAAAAGATTTCCACTTGTTGATGCATTATAATTTTATTGTTTCATAATAAATATTAACAACAAAACAATAATTGTACTATGTAGTTCAGAGTTTGTTTTGAATAACTATAAACTTTGAAAGTCTCTTGAAGATTCAAAATATCAGCATTCAGCAATGCTATTGTGAGCATTAAATGACTAATCTGTAAACATATTAATTGCGACACGCTTTTGGACTCCAACTTTTTCAGGCTTGGGAGTCCATGGACTCCATGTTTTAAAGACCTAGTGAGAACCCTGATACTTTCATACACATACGTACATGTACAAGGCCGTCGTCGATGGTCCGGCCGGTCCGGCCTTGGCCGGACCAATATTTTGGCCAAAAATGAGTTAAAAAAAAAAAAAAAAAATCTAGCACCTGAGACGCCGGGTTTTAGAACTCTGTGTTCTTTATGTGTTGTAAACAAACTAGAGAACTTGGTTTTGTTTGTGATTTCTATGGTAACGATATATTAACCGAGACATCTTAGAGGTGCAGCTTCAGCTGCTACGTTCACATTTTGATAAATCAGAAAATAGTAAAGTAAAAACTATTTTAAGTGACCTTCGATGGGAGGAAAGAAAAAATGCCATTATAGACAGGGAGTCACTGTGAACAGTCTCTAAAGAATTTGGATATACGAACATATGTTGCCAATATTTTGTTTAAAAGCAGGATAGTACCATACTTAGGGTTTAATTATATTTTTCATTTATATTATACATATATTAAACACACCACATATCATCTTTTTATTTCACTTTCTTTTTTCCTTCAAGCCCCATTATGCCGGAGATATGCTTTAATCTTAATTTCGTAAAAACTTAATTTTTGGTAACCCATTCGAGCTACTCCCCTTGCAAAAGTCGCTTTACACGGCTTATATAACGTAACGGGAGACGCTAAATCATGGTCGTTGTACGCACTAGACAGGGAGTCGCTACATACAGACCATTTATATAGTAAATACTGTTCGGTGCACCAAACTATGGTCTTTACTGTACTGTTACTCTACCGGACGTTTTGAAATTTGTATCAGAACAGTTGGTGCTAGAACGAGCACTGTTCTCTGAGGTTATTGTGTTGTTAAAGATTTTGTTAGTTATACCTACTACTAATGCTACCAGTGAACTCAGAAGAATAAAGACATACCTGAGATCGACAATGTCTCAAGTACGCTTGAACAATCTAATGGTGTTACATGTTCATAAGTACAGGACAGATTCACTCAACTTATTTGTAATTGCCGATGAGCTCATTACCACCAGAGAACGACGGCGATGTGGTTTTGGAAAATTTACATAAAATGAGACTCTGTTGTGTAAGATTATTGTGAACAAAATACAAGTTACTGCTAAACAAAAAGTGGTTATTGTTGACTCGTAATGTACTATTTTTCCATCATGTCATTGATTGTTTATTGTGTGAGTTTTGTTAAACAATAATCCACGTACTGTAATATTTCTTGTAGTTGTTTATTTGTAATTATCAGATAAAAATGCATCTAAAAAATTATACAACATTAATTATTGTTTATTTTTTATTTGCCAAATATCAATTACATGTATTCATCTTTTATGTACACCTATGCGAACCTTAAATTTCACCCTTAAAATCTGTAAAAAATCGTTGACATATTACTATAACATGTACTAACGGCAGGCTGTAAACTGTGCCAAATATACGGTAAAACGGCCCTGAGAGCATCCTAGAATAAAAAAAATTCCGGGGGAGCATGCCCCCGTACCCCCCTAGATTCTGGCTAAAACCAACCAAATTGGCCGCACCAATCACAAAATCGTGACGACGGGCCTGCATGTACTATATTTAGCTCTATGGATTCAGTGATACACGCATAATTTTCTCTGTTAGATATTTGTATAACTGTATGGTAGTTATTTGTTATTAATTGCTTATACAAATGACCTTTTAATTGATACTAATAATTGATCAGAATTTTTTTTTTAAAACAGGTGTTGGTCTTGAGGTGTGATACATATTTCACAAACAAGCAGGACTGGTGTTACAACGTTAAAAGTCATACTAAAAGAAGAAATAACAGTTGACTTTGACATGTGTAATAACTTCCATATGTCTACCGACTACTGATTCTTCATATGCAATGATTATTTATGTGATTGAAGGTTTTTAGTGTTTTACTTCTGGCAATAATAAATGGTGTGCCCATAAAATTTGATAAGTAATTACTTATGACAGATATTTCATGAAATTCTAAAATTTCTGTTGCATAAATTGGCAGAGTTTGCCATTCAAACAGTTCGTGTTTGAAGATATTATTTGGAACAGTTAACTAATAGAAATAATAGAACTTACTTTATATGTGTTAGAATATTAAAATTAAAAGTTAATATAATCATTTCCTATTGATATGGACATTAATTATACTTTCCTTGGAGAAAATGTTAGTCGTCCTGGTAGAACTATTTATGAGACTGGGGAAAGTCCCCTCTTGGATTGCCTTAAATATGAAGGGGAGGATGCTGTGTGTAAGTTAAAAGCTGTGTTAAAAAGTGGAGTGAACTTTGATAGGAGTTTCTACGGATATACATTTCTGGGAGCAGCATGCTATATAGGAAGATGTGATATTGTGAAGGTTGTGATTGATCATATAAAACAGGTAAATTAATATATTCTTGATAAAAGTGTCAGATCCTGAAAAAAATATTAATTAATATTATAGATAAATAAAGTTTTTTTATTTTACTAATTCAAATAAATTTATGTCAAACATTTCAGATGTTGTTTAACATTCTTAATTATGTCACCAAAAATCTGTTGACAGAAAATTATAGTTGACTGACCAAAATAACGTACGAAAAAAAATCGTTACTTTGGTTACAGTCAGCATGATTATGCCAGTCATTGACAATTGTTACATTGACATAGTTTCTTTTTGCTTAAAGTTATAATGTGGAATATGCGTAATCTCAGAAAAAACAATCTTATTCATTGTTTTTATCAGCTACTTCAATGGGTGCTATTAACTCAATAAAACAAATATGAAATATAAAGATAATATTTTGCAATGTATATTTTATATTGATATTACATGTATAGTTATAAAGAATATATTTTATTGCAGAATTTAAAAACAAGAGGTAACAGTGGTTGTATAAGACGGAGATCTGCACTTGATGACCATGACATTCATGGGAATACACCATTACTGTATGCAGTTTGCAAGGACAATTTGAAGATATGTAGACTACTTATAGCAGAAGGTGCTGATCCTAATATACCCCATCAAATGTCCAGACAAACACCCCTGTTGGTAGCAATAGAACAGTCCCAGGTAGGTACATATAATTTATGATGTGTGAGATTAAAAATAAGTAAAAGGGATGTTGATTTAAGCTGTCATTATAAAGTGTCAGTAATGTTTTAGAACTGAAAACAGTAAACATTAATTGTATCATAGAATTATTTAAAATTTGTTTAAGTAAAACTTGAATCATCTAGTATTAACTGTAATGTGTTGAACCTTTAACTTGTAGTAAAATTTCTTAACCAAAAAAAACAACCCACTAAATGTCATAAAAGGGGCATTTTCAATACAATCTTTCATTTTCAATAACTTTAATGCAATATTATGTAATACATTTTTTCTTCAGTTTTGAAAGAAATAATATTACTCTTTCCTGTGTTTTCTATGTAATTCTAATTAAAATGCTATTTTTCCACTGTAAATTTATATCTATTAAAGTCCCAGAAAACACTTAAAAATGCTATACATTGAGAAAGATTTTTCACTTTGAAAAGTTTGAAGATATAAATGGAATAGTCAGACAATGTTTAATTTTGATATTAACGTTTACTTTAGGATGAAATGGTGACATTCTTGTTAGAGAATAATGCTGATGTACAGATATGTGACAATGTAGGTATCACACCACTATATACTGCCATCAAGTGTAGAAATGAGGGTGTGGTCAAACAGCTTATACAGGCAGGTTGTGATGTAGATATTGGTAGCCAGGACCATACACCTATCTTCCTAGCAACCAGGACTGGTCAACTTAATATTGTTAAGGTAAAATGCAAATTCATTCTAGTATTTAAATAACAACAAAAAAAACACTTAGACTAGAATTAAAAAAAACTTAAGCGAGAATAGTTAAAATGATTGTACATAGAGTTTGGAACATGCAAAAGCAGTCAAATTTAGGTTTTAATTGCACAGCAGAAATATATTTTATCTGATTTTTCAGGGCATTTTGGAATTATTATTATTTCTCGTACTGAGTAAAGTGCGACTAGTTTTGCTTAAAAACCAACTCGATTTCAATTAAACTTCACAAGAGTTATCAGTTATGCATGTTAACATGAGTTTTCAGTTCTGAATGTACTATCTGGTTTCATACATTAATGAATTTTACTTACTCTGTATGGTTATTTTTGTATTCAGTGACGCATATTCATTATTTCTGATACAATTTTATTAGCAGTCTGCATGAATTGTTAATGTTGGAAATTGAAAATCACTCTACTGGTTTCTATCATTTTGAAATTGACTCAGTGATAAATTTCAGATGTTATGTGGTGCAGGCTGTCACAAAAATGTTAGCAACAAATATGGTGTAACACCTGTATATGAAGCTTCTCTGAAAGGTAGGTAAATGGGATCTTGTTTGTAAATGAATCTTTTGAATAATTACAAAAATAGAGATGAATATTATGAACTCATCCTTGCATAAAATATTTTACTCACAGAAATTTATTGAGATCTATGAAATTCTTACTGAATATGTCTAATTTGAATAAAAGAATGAAAAAACTATGTATGGAAAGCTGCATTCCCTATTATCAGTCAAGTAAATCTGATCTTTTCTTTAAAAAAAACTGCCATCTTTTTTTTGATGATACTATATATTCATATTGTGACCACCTATTGTTGTGTAGAATTTTAAACATAACATATATACTAAATGTGTGAAGTCAAAACATCTTTTTTTTTTCATATTTACAAAGAAACTGTTTAGCAATTATCAATATTTTTTAATATCAAATTTGAATATCTTTAAATTAAGCATGAAATAAGTCGTCTTTATGTTTCAGGTCATGAAGCAGTGTTGGAGTACCTGTTAGATGTAGAATGTAGTCCAAATGTTGTAGATATGTATGATCAGTCCCCACTACATGTAGCCGTCATGTCTGGTCATCTCAGTTGTGTCACACTGTTAATGCAAGGTATAATTCTCCTCTTCTTCTTTTTTAAGTCGGGTGGTTTGAAATAAATTATTGGATATGTTTTGCTACAGATATTCTAATCCGAAATGCAAACATGATACAAAATTTAACTTGCATATTGTACCACTTTCCATCATATTTTAAATTCTTATAACGTAATAAAACATTTTTTCATGAAAATTTATGTCATTACACCCATAACTTTTCTTACAACAGCATATGAAATTACAACTTAATTCATAACAGCAGTACCATTCTCATTGATTGTGTAAAGTTATATTGAGAATACATGAGAATACAACTTTACACATGTGTGCAATATTTTTTATATTTAATTCAGCTGGTGCTAATTGGAAGCTGAGGAATCACAATAGAGAAAGTGCCTTTGATCTTGCCTTACAATTAGGCAAGTCAGAGATTGTACAATACTTCCTGGAAGAAGGTCTTAATGTCTTACCTAGAACCTCTACTCCCACTGCGTAAGTACACTTCTCATAATTTGTCTACAAAATTGTTGGTATTTTTAAATGCAATTTTCTAAAAAGTAAACTCTTTGCTTATGTGGCACAGAAAGTTATATTTAGATAACCTCTTTCAGTTATTGCATGAAAAATATATATTGCATATGAAATCCTTTACAGCATATGATAAAAATTGATAAAGAATGGGAAAATTCAAACATTGATAAGCTTTGATTGTTATATAACTGAAATGGATTTCAGATTGCTTCTATTGAATCAGTTTATTTCTCGGTATTTGTACTATATGCTATGATAATGAATACTGTAACCTCAATCTCTTTCATAGAATGTTTTCTTGTATAGAAGCTAGCAAGCTTATGTGATGGGAAAACTGGGTTTTACATACACTTTCAGTTAGGTGTTCCTCAAATATCCATGTGCTAAATCTGAAAAATTACTGCATGTATATATTACTTGTTAGACGTGACTCGAAACTTTACACCATGAACTGTTTGCCCTTGGTCACCGTGGGTTCAAATCCTGGCAGGAACTTGGCATTTTTTCATATTCAGAAGTTATACAGCTAGTTTTTGGAACAACAGTGGTTCTACTCAAGTGTCTACTTGTACAGGTCTGCAATAAAAGATGAAGGGACACATAAAGTCTTCCTCCACATGTAAAGCTGGAAAGTAGCCATATTGATTGTGTTGTTGTGTTGGAAGCTATAAGCTTATCGAAACACTCTTGATTCCGTCCCTGAACCAACCAGTAATAAGCAATGAGTGTAAACTTTCTTCTTGTTTACCGAAATAACAGCTTATCCCTGATGGTGTTTGAACCTATGCTGCCAGCAATCTTTAGATTACTTGTCTGACGCATTAACCACTTGGCCATGCCACCACTCAAAGTTAGACTTAATAGCCAGCAAAAAAATAAAGTATGAATTTTCAGGCTACTTTGGCTTAGAAAAAAATACAACAAAAAAAAACAACTGTTGTTAAGTTATGGTTTTGAATGTTTACAGGTTGAAGAACATAGTGGCAGTGTTTGAGCAGGGACATACAGCAACTCTTAGTGTTCTTATTAAAGGATGTGCCAAATTACCTATGCTCCATTGTATAGGAGTTTTACCAATGTTTAGGTAGGAGATGCTTGTATTTTAATTAATATAGTTATACGAGTTTTATGTTTATATGCATGGGCAAATGTTTTAACAGATTTTGTGTTTAGTTGTTGATAACACTAAATCTCTTAAATGTAAGTAAGCATAAATGGTTTGTGAAAAATCTGAAAATGAAGATTTTATGTGAGGAGAAATTTTATTTTTACAAATCCACACCAGATAATATGGGTGATACTGGCTTTGTTGGGTCTGTCTGTCTTTAAACTTCTTCATTCTATACTAATAGACAAAGGCTTTCATTATTGGACAAAACATATCCGAATGAGAGCTCTAATTTAATGTATTGATATACAAGATAAACAAATATAACCTTAAATTTTCTAATTTTGAAATTGTTGGTCAACTTGGTCTAGGATATTAAATTTTTACCACAAATTTGATTTACATTTACATATTTGAGACTATTATATATTTATGAATGATGTCTTGTTTTACATTATCTTCTTATGAAATTTCATAGATATGATACTTTTGATAGATTTATTAACTACAACACATCATAATTAATTTTGTCTCCTTTCTTTAGAAATCAAACTGACTTGATGAAGCTTCTTCTTCACTCTGGCATCCAGACAGTACCTGCAATTCTATTGGCTGCTGACACTCATCAAAGTAAGGAGACATCTGATTGGCTGAAAGAATTCAAAAGCAATCCCAGAAGACTACAGGACATGTGTAGAATTAGAATCAGAAGAACTCTGGGAAATAAAGTGTTATTTGGCGCCAAACAGTTGCCCTTGCCAGCAGACTTGAAATCTTTCATCACTTTGAATAGACTGTGATAAATCCATATTCGCAGTAATGCTATTTGTATTTGATACAAAAATTTAGTCCTTTTTTCCGGTGCCTAAATTTATACAGCAGAAGAATCTGCTCTATTATTAGTCAGATCTCAAAGGTCAGTAGAACACAAATTTTCATTAGTTACTGATATAACATTTAGTTACAGGAAAGATCATTTCATTCACCAAAACCCCAATTTAATTTTACAAGCTTTAAAAGCGGACAAAGCTTTTATTTCTCAGATGTTTTAATGACATTTTATAATTTTTTATTGCATTTCTTGTTTGTTTTTACCTTATTATTGAATGTTGTTATTGTTGACTTTTCACATATAGGCAATTTTTTGTTGAAAATGTTTGTTTATACGTTGGACTTTTAATATTTTAAAGTTAGCATTTATCATGTACATGTTTTAAACATATCATTGTAAGCATTATCCCAGTGACCTCTACCTGAATTGTCTTTCCATGACTAACCTCCATGTTTAATTTATAGTCACAAAAAAATTACAATTTATAGTTGTTAACCAATACACTTGTAATAATAGTAAGATAATCAGGCCATTTAGTGTTGATGCTGTTACCAGTGTAAGATAATGTGCCATTTAATATTGTTACAATTATTAGAATGTAAGATAATTGGCCATTTAGTATTGATGCCATTATCATAGTTTCAGATATTCGGCCATTTAGTATTGATGCCATTATCATAGTTTCAGATATTGGGCCATTTAGTATTGATACCATTATTACAGTGTCAGATATTGGGTTAGTAAGTATTGATGCCATTATTAGAGTGTATAATATTGGGTCATTTAATATCATTGCCCATTGATATGCAATTAATACAGATTAAGTATGTGGAGAAATATGATTGTCCTGTTAAAATAGTCTCATCATTCATTAAAACTTGTTGTATTTCAAACTAAATTTCGAATTTCAGTATATAGGTATGTGAAAATGGCCTCTGTTTTAAAAATGGCAACAAATATTGGTAAGCATGCATATATAATTATTATATCAGGAAGAAATCTAAACATCAATGATTTGATTTCCATGTTCTAAACAAAATCATTTATCATTCGATATACACCAGTCATCTGAAACACTGCCCACCCACCCCAAGAAAATAAGGCGTGCTTTTACCTTTCATCTATTCCAGTTCTGCCCCAATTAGGTGGTGGACTTGTTTTGGTGATAAAATGTGTCCAAATTGCAATGCCGGGCTTTTAAGCAGGGTTTTGAAAATCACAAGACAAGGTTGCCAATATTTTGGAGGGTGTATGGGTCCTGGTTTCAATTAACTATGGCATAATGCTAGACTTCTGCCTTGTATGGCTGATATTTGGGAAACTACTTATTTTACTGATTTATGTGATTGCTTTTAGCAGATGTAAAAAAAATATATCCAAAACATGTAAAATTTGTTTGTTTCTGCTTTATTTTAAGTGATTGCTTTTAGAAAATGTTCCAAATATATTTTAAACATTCAGAATTGTTAAAAATATACATGCTTTATTGATGGTTATATATACAAAAGTGTCATGTAGGCATTTCTTGTGTGCAATATATATACATGTGTATTAAATGGTAAGCCTTTTCTTTTGTATATGTTAATGTTCTTCTTTTTACTCCTTCTTTTTACTGTTTTGTTATTTTGTTAAAAGAATCGCTTGATTTGTCATATTGTATTTCTGTTTACTTGACTACTTACAGAAAGGTAGTAAGAGACATTGTCTGCATGAAACAATTTTTATGCCCCCACAATGTGGGAGCATATAGCGTTGCACTTGTCCGTCCGTCCGTCCGTCAGTCCGTTCGTCAGTCCGTACGTCCCGAAATCTTGTGAACGCAACTCCTCTTAAACCGGATGGCAGATTTTGCTTAAACTTACAGGGATGAACAACCTTAATGTGTAGATGGTAGTAAAGGAAGGAATTTTCGCTGCGACCAAATTTAACAGAATTATGGCCCTTTGTTGATTTTTTCACTAGATACTATGTAGAAATTTTGTGAACGCAACTCCTCTTAAACCGGATGGCAGATTTTGCTTAAACTTACAGGGATGAACAACCTTAATGTGTAGATGGTAGTATAGGAAGGAATTTTTGCTGCCACCAAATTTAACAGAATTATGGCCCTTTGTTGATTTTTTCACTATATACTATGTAGAAATTTTGTGAACGCAACTCCTCTTAAACCGGATGGCAGATTTTGCTTATACTTACAGGGATGAACAACCTTACGGTGTAGATGGCAGAAAAGGAAGGAATTTTCGCTGCGACCAAATTTTACAGAATTATGGCCCTTTGTTGATTTTTTCACTATAATACTATGTAGAAATTTTGTGAATGCAACTCCTCTTAAACCGGATGGCAGATTTTGCTTAAACTTCCAGGGATGAACAACCTTAATGTGTAGATGGTAGTATAGGAAGGAATTTTTGCTGCGACCAAACTTTACAGAATTATGGCCCTTTGTTGATTTTTTCACTATATACTATGTAGAAATTTTGTGAACGCAACTCCTCTTAAACCGGATGGCAGATTTTGCTTAAACTTCCAGGGATGAACAACCTTAATGTGTAGATGGAAGTAAAGGAAGGAAGTTTTGCTGCAACCAGATTTAACAGAATTATGGCCCTTTGTAGATTTTTTCATTATATACTATGTAGAAATTTTGTGAATGCAACTCCTCTTGAACCGGATGGCAGATTTTGCTTAAACATCCAGGGATAAACAACCTTAATGTGTAGATGGTAGTAAAGGAAGGAATTTTTGCTGCGACCAAATTTAACAGAATTATGGCCCTTTGTTGATTTTTAGTTTTCAACTTGTGGCACATGTAGTCCAAAAAATATTTGACCTAGAGTCATAAGATTGACAGAACAGTGGCGTGTGGGGGCATCCGTGTCCTATGGACACATTTCTAGTTTTATATATGAATATAATTACATATATCCTTTATTGGAAAAGACAAGGGTGGTTGCCTGACTTGAAATGAACAATGGATTAATGATAGCAAAATTTACCTCATTATTTATATATACTATATATACTAAAGATATACTATACTCATCTTTGAGTAAAATTTGTCAATCACAGAAATTTATTGAAATCTATGAAATTCTTACTTAGTAAGTCTAATTTGAATATAAGAATAAATAATAAACTATGTGTGGGAAGCTGCGTTGGATATTACAGGTCAAGCAAAGTTGTGCCTTTCTTAGAAAACACTGCCAGTTTTTTTTTAATGAGACTATATATTCAATTTGTGACCACCTAAAGTATGTAGTGTTTTAAACATGACATCTCTACTTTGTATGAAGTCAAAACATATTTATTTTATATTTACAAAGAGACTGTGTAGCAGTTACAACATTTTCTAATATCAAATTTGAGCACTGTATATCTTTAATCATTTAAAATTGACGATTCTAAATTACAGATATATAAGTAGCATGAAGAGAAAATATACATTTTATCAGAAGAGATTTTGATAAAGTGTGGCTTGCCATTACATGTTAACTGTTTGTCCAGTTTTTACACATTCTGTTTTAGAGTAAGGGCAGTTTGTATGTACAAGAGTAGATTTTGTATCAATAGTTCTAGTAGTGGTGTTGTGTACCCACCTGCTTGTTTTGAATATGTAGTGACAATATTAGGTAAGTGATGGATTAATAAAATGTTGCTTGATAAAAATACATTCATACATTACAGGAAGAACATGATTATTAAAATGCCAGTAACATGAATCATTTAATGATCGATATATTTGTTAGCAGAACATTAATTTTGTATTATTTATGATATGCATTTACTTCTACTTTATTATCCTGCCTTTGAATAATTTTTACTTCAAACTTCGAATAATTGATTTTTATTGACCACAGCAAATTTTTTAGACTTTTGCACAAATATTTAAAAGTTATCTGCCTTTAAACTTGATATTCTATTTAATATAATAATGTAAAAACTTTTACTTTTTAATCTATTGTATTACTTATTGAATTTATTTCAGACTTATTATTTCTATTATTACGTTACATATGACAAAGTTGATATCACTGACACCTATATACAAATGTTTTAAGAATGACCACCATGAATGTGCCATCTCCTATGATAGCTTGTTGTTTGAAATTTCTGTACAGTAAAACCTGTGATAAAGACCACCTCCACATAAAAATCATCCTGTAAATAAAGACCAATTTTCAACAACCTGCCATTGATAAATTAGAACATAGTAACCTCCAAGTTAAGACCTCGTCTATAAAGGCCATGTCAAGTCTCCTTTGAATGGCCTGTGGTCATAGGTTTGACTGTATTTAATTCTTGTGTTAATGATTAACTTTCTTTCATTTAAAGTGACTTGCTCGCATTTATCAATTTAAGACATTCTTCTTTACGAAATAAAGAAAAGTCCCCATGAAAATCTTTTTGTGTAATATACATTTAGTTAGTAAATCATTTTTATTTCAATGTATATTTTCTAGTCTTTTTCACATTCTTTCATTATTTCTCCATGCCAAAATGTGTTCTTGATGTAGTTTTAGTAGTTGTTAGGTTTTTTTATTAAAGGTAGATAGGTATACAACTTAGTTGTTAATGATGTTTTTGCATGTTTATGATTATTATTGCATGTTTTATACTTGGTAGATTAAAAGATACAAACAATACTCTTTTTTCTGTGCTCTTTACACTATCGCCCATACAATTTGTACTTCAAACCTTTTGCCCCTCACCGCTGTGGGTTCGAACCTGGACAGGGACTTTGGATTCTTTCATGTGAGGAAGCTATCCAGCTAGCTTACGGAAAGTCGGTGGTTCTACTCAGGTGCCCGTTCGTGCTTGAAATAATGCACGGAAGGGCACCTGAGGTCTTCCTCCACCAGTAAAGCTGGAACGTCGCGATATGACCTATACTGTGTCAATGTGACGTAAAATACAAAAAAAAAAATCTACCTGTACAGAAAGGAAAAATTCTATGTCACAGTGACAGACTTAGACCTGTACATTCTTTGAAATTATCACTACTTTTTAGCTCACCTATTCAAAGAAAACAGAGAGCAATTGTACTTATTTTGGTAAAGTTTTTGCATGCAAGTTGGTATCTAGGGAAATGGATAATGGTGTAATATACTATGCAATAACAGAAAGTTAAAAAGCCTAGTAACTCTTTCCTTTCAGATTCATTAGTCAAGGGCTTCCATTAAATTCCAAAATTTTGGAAAATCAAGACTAAAAAAAGTTTTTGACATTATTTTAGTTTAAAAAATGAAAAAAATTTTCAATTTGTTTAAATTTACAAGCCCAAAAATTAAAAAAAGTAAAATTTACTTTCCAAAAATTTTCCCCTAAAAGGGAACTCTTTTAAATCAAAATTTTTAAAAAAATCATCTTTAACATTAAAAATTCAAATTTCCAAGGGCAAATGATTTTTAAATAAAAGGGCCCCAATTTAAAACCCCAAAATTTGTTAAAATGGAATTTTTCCCCAAAAAATAAAAAACCAAATTTGGGCTTTTTTTTCTACCAAAGCCCCCCCAAAAAATTTACTTGACATGAGGGGTTTAAAATATTAAAAAAATTAAAAAAGCTATGTTTCAATATCAAAGGGAAAATGACCAAACTTTCATGTCTCTAATTTATAGTAAAACATCTCTTATTTGTATGATATTTATTCAGAATATTTTCTAAAATATTCACACTGCAAAACAGGTTAATTGACTTTTTATATTTTTTACATTTTAACCCTTGTTGTACACATTTCAATTTTTTCATGACTGTTCATGTTCAAACTTTAAATACTAGATAATTAGACTATATTTTTACTTTCAATAAACTAAATTAGGAACATATTTTTTTTTCATTTACTGGCAAAAAAAAGCTTAAACGTAAACGAACGTAGTTTGATAGGGAAATCATATACAGTTCAAACCAGTTTTAGCTTTATTTCATATCAGCAGCAACTGAACTAATCTCCAGATAAAGAAACAAAGCTTTCCAAAAAGAAGACAGTGTTAGCACGTGCTATGACTTGCTGCTTTATATGTGTATATACTCCATGAAAACTTTTCCTACACAATACTTGTCTAATGAAAAAAATTGTCAAATATGTGTCACTATTTACTATTCTTCTCATATCCACTAATCACTAGTATTGATCTATCAATTTTTTTTATCACAGTCTACAAAAATATATACAAGTTGGACGGATTATCACAATAATTTAATCAAACATACAATACACAAATCATGATCTGACTGTACATTTTGTTAATATAAATTATTCGCTGACAGTTTGAATAATGGCATGTATATCCATCACACATTTGTCAGAGATTCCATCCTCTTGTCCACAACTTAAAGCTTCCTGTAGTTTTGGCACCACATTGGCATTCTTCATCACAACCTTGGCCTGAAATGACCAGATAAACAATTCCAGTTGTAAACAAGCCAGCAAAACTGAAATATATTTCTGAATAAGATTATTTGTCTAAGCATTATTAAAGTCATTATGTTATAACCTCTACAAAGAGGTTCTCTGTATAACAATCACCTCTCTACAACAACTGTATATTTTTTTCCTAAATTTAAGCTTCATAAAAAAATAAACAACGATGTAACAACACCTCTTGCCAGAACCAAAAATCTTTGTCCAGGATATTGCACTACAGATGATCACATAATTCTACCTTCTGATGTATTATTTCAGGCACATTCATGCAGTCTGATCTGGCTCTTTAAAGTTGGGCTGCTAAATTCTATTATTTCTATAACAATATCCCTCAACCTAACATAGTACTGTTCCAGTAGAACAAGTCCGTCACAAAGATTCAGTTTGTTTTTTCTGTCTCCTTTATGCTGATTTCAACGCATATTTGGTCATATCTCTGCAGTTAATCCACCTAACTGGATTTCCTGGATAATTAACCAGTAATGACCAACTACTAATCACTCATGATTCCTGAATCAATGTCCAAGATTAAATGTCACAGAGATATTGCGCCTAGCCAAAGGATCGAACCAGCAACCCTTGGATTACTTATCTGACAATCTCCCTATTGAGCTCAACGGTAGTCCCAAAGATTCAGTAATACAAGGGTTAAAGGTGATCATTGACCAATTACACTAAAGGTCATGGGTTCTGAAATAACAAAAGTAAAAGTCGGCATACCTTCTGATTATTGTAGACTAGTGCCCACAATGCAGATGCCCCTACAGTTTTCAGTCTTTCCTCGTCACATTCTACACACTGTAGTAGTCGTGGTAACAATTTGTCTAAAATGAAATATTGCTTTTTCTTAATTCAAGGTGGTAAACTTTTGGACAGATTTACTATTATCACAATTCAGAAAAGTTTTAGTTAACATGTATTTATGTGGGAAAAGTTCTAAATGTGGAATTTCCTCATGGAAACATTCTAGTATTGCAAGTCTTACAAACATAGTAAGTCTCACAATCACAATGTTTGTCATTTTGAACCATTGTTGGTAATAGGAGAGCAAACAATTGATACAATCAAAATAATATCTCATAGAAATTTCAGACTGTAAATTACATGTGAATAAATGTTATCCGAACTCAGCAAATGTGCGTTTTCCCCAGCTAATTCATAGGTACAAATAAAACTTTTACCATTATAGTTCCACGGTGCACTACCCGTCACAATATATATTAGCACAACCTGTTGCGCTTATTTTCAAAGCTGTTACTGTAAAAGTTTTTTTGTACCTACGAATTACCTTGGAAAAACCCAAATATTCTTAATTCCGGAGTTAAGCTATTGTAGAAATCAAAATAAAAGTTAATGCAAGTATCAGCTTCATACAGTCATTTTGGGGGTCAAGGTAAATTGAAAAACAAAATGTGTTTTGTTGAAGAAAATCTTTGGTGAAGGCATAGCTGAGCTGCTAACACTTCAGACTTGTAATCTAATGATATCTAACCATATGGGTCAGGGACAACCGTTGTTTCCTTGAGCAAGAAACTTTACTCTTATTGTTCAGTACTGGTTTGTTCCAGGAATGGATTTGAGAGTTAGTCTGTAAGTCTATAGCTTCCTATACTACACAATCAAACTAAAACACATTCAGTATAAACTAAAACTATAAAAAATGCCCATACCATTGGCAAGCACTTTTGGTTTATTACTGGAATGACAGCACAGATTTCTAATGATGATAACAGCACATTCTTGTTGTCTAGCATTTGGGCACTCCAGAAACTCTAACAATATGGCTACAGCATCTACAAGGGTAATACTTTTTTTATCATCATGTTTTCTTTTGAGAGGAGACATTCATTATAATATTTCTAATAACTGTTTTCATATAAGGATGTTCAATAATCGGAATGTTTTGTAATTATTTTTTTATATCATACAAACATTCTATCAAATTTCCTTGTTAACTTAACAGTTAGTTATCAAAGAAGGAATTCTGTATAATGAAACAACCACTTTGAAATTTGAGTAAAGTGAGTTTGAGTTATTGATGATCAACTGTATATGGGGAAAAACTTTCCAACAATTTATAAATGAAATGACAACTTACCAGGAATTTTAAGAATCATCTGTTGACCTTCTAGAGAAAATGACAGGTTGAGGAGTAACTCGAGCCACAACACTTCATGCAACACCTGCTTTACTTTAGCTTTTGCTGTTTTTGATCTTTTAGGGTTTAAACTTCCAAATTCTTGTAAAAAGTTACTCTGTAAATTAATAAATAACACTTATTTTACCATTTGAATAGACAGATTTGTTAATGCTAGTTTTTCAAAAACAATTTTTTCAAGTACATGTACATACTGGTAATTGTTGTCTTGTCATTTTTTTTACCATTGAATTCCTATATAATTATGAATAATCAAAGTGTCAATCTTAAGTAATCACGGCTGTTGAATAACATTTTCAAACGATTTAATTTCTCAAATCACTTAAATGTGCTTCACTGTTATTGCTGTAAGTTTGGTTATACATATATTAAGCATGAGGAAAGTTTATTAAAACCAGACTCAGCCCTGGAATGCGAAAAAATACTGGTTATGATCCTAATATGACACAAACATATAATCTCTAGGTTGAAAGGCAGACATTGTCCTAACCACCAAGCCACAGGTTTTTTTTTTCATACTGGTAGGTTTTACATAACTTGCCAAATAGTCTTTAAGTTATTCAGTAAGATTTGTTTCGGTACTTGGAAAATTTATCATAAGTTACTTTCAATAAATGTTTTTGTATAGCACAAACACAGATGCCCTAACATTCCATTGGTTTTTTAAAAAAAAAAAAAACCCTGTAAATTACTATAAATTACAGTACACTGATGGACAGCTTGACTGACAAGGGCAAATGTACATGTATATGATGTATATGCCCCCTTCTACACCCCCTTCCCCTCTAAGTATTAAGTGCATAAAAATCAACTGTTATAGATAATTATCATAAAACCCTACAAACCTTCCAAATAATTGTTCTACACTCTGAGGACAATGCTAAATTAGCTAACAAACCAAACAAGCATTTCATCAAAGCATCTTTATGTTTGCCTTTCTCTATATGTTTGATAACACAGTGAACCAGGGATTTCTGCCCGGCTGCCTGCCCCGTCACTGTTCCACTGGAATGTGCCAATGAGCTGGTAGCTGCAAGTGTAACCCAATTACAATAATAAATAATAAATGTTCAAATTAAAGACTTAGGAACTAGACTTTGTACAAAAAAATAGGGTGACTGCTTAAATACTGAAATGTTCAATAGAGTTTAAATTATATAATTGGTTACTTTCCTAACATTTTAATTTGTCTATGTTTTACCAAAACTAAAAATAGCAATAAAATCTGTATCAAAACCTGAAAAAGAAGGCAGATTACCTGATGGACAGGAGGCAGTATATGAAGTCAGGAGGGCCAGTACACACATCATGAGATTATAATCTAGCTGACACCAGGACCATAATTTATGTACAACATCATGTAAATTACTGTGAAAACACGCCATCTGAAAACGTCAAACATAGAGAAATAATTCATGAATGTTTCACTTACTTTGCTTTAATTAAAATACAGACAATGGGTCACTACTAAAGTTTAATGCATATCAAACATAAGAATCAAATTATGAATATACATGTAATTCAAGAATATTGCAGTTTTAAGAAATTGTTGCTGTCTCTGTGTGGTTCATTTTAAAAGATTATTTTATATCAACATCTGAAAATGTTTTTGCCTGTATTAAACCAACCAATTTTTCTTTTGGGTTTTTTGTCGCACCAACTCATAAGAGGCCATATGGCGAGTTCCCAGCTTTACTGGTGGGGGGAAGACCATAGATGCCCCTCACTGCATTATTTCAGGTATGGTGAGCATCTTAGTAGCACCACAGATGTTCAGAAAGCTAGATGGATAGCTTTCTCACATGAAAGAATCCAAAGTCCCTGACTGGGTTCAAACCTACAACAATGAAGGGGCAAGTGGTTGAAGTCAATGACTTTAACAACTCGGCCACGGACACCCCAACCATTTTAGGTTAATCATTAATTTTTTTTTCAAAACAAAGGATGAATTTGATTATTACCATTTAAATAAACAAAGACCTATTAAAACTCGTAACACTATTTATTTACCTTGACATCCTCATTTCTATACATGAAGTTGCGTAAAAGGTCAAAGGTCAAGATGAGTTCATTTATTCCAGGATCATCTTTCACTTTGTTAGATTCTTTATGTACCAATAACATATTCATGTTCAGCTTGGAATTTGTCTGTTTTACATGCTCCAACAGGTTTTCAACAAGACCAGCTGAAAAATATAAAATCCAATTATCCTAGCTTATAACTTTGACCTTTAAAGGCTGTTATTTCTGTTATACAGTAGCCTTATGAAAAACTTATTGAACTTTTGCATAGACATCCATTTCTCTAGGGCTTTAAAACACAGAGACATAGTTTCAATACTGGTTATATCTCTATTTCTTATAAAACACTAAATATACAACTTACTACATACCTTTCAGTACTGTAAGTTACAGGTGCACTAACTTGCAATTATAGTTCTTGAAAAGCTTAAATCTTCGGATTTTATTATACCAGTATTTAGTTTTCATTTTCCAAAAATATTCTCTTACCTCATACAAAGGATTGTTTCTCATGATCAACATGGACAAACTCTTAGCATAGTTTCAAAGACATTAATAATTTGATCATCTGATACTGAGTAACAACTACTTATGCTCAGTAACAACTATTTATGCTGAATAATAATAACTACTTATGCTGAGTAACAACCACTTATGCTGAGTAACAATAACTTATGCTGAGTAACAACCACTTATGCTGAGTAATAACTACTTATGCTGAGTAACAACTACATATGCTGAGTAACAATAACTTATGCTGAGTAACAACTACTTATGCTGAGTAACAATAACTTATGCTGAGTAACAACTACTTATGCTGAGTAACAATAACTTATGCTGAGTAACAACTACTTATACTGAGTAATAACTATTTATGCTGAGTAATAACTACTTATACTGAGTAATAACTACTTATGCTGAGTAAAAACTACTTATGCTGAGTCACTTTTTTGGGATCCATTGATTTTTGGGACTCTGTTAGTGTCAAACCCTGTGAAACAACAATAACAAACAGGTCTATATGTTCATACCTGTTGGAAGGATTTTCACGTTTAAAATGGTATTTTTTTTTTAATTTTAAAATGTCGCATATTTTACTTACATTCTAAAGCTGTTGTCTTTGCTGACTCTGATACAGCTAGGAGACACTTTAATGCTGTTATTACATGAATTCTCTCCCCTGGATTAGGACTCTCCATCTTACGAAGGATGTATTGGTCATAGGAAGTAATGAGAGCCTTACAGAAACGTGTACCCGCTGTAACCTGGCTAGCGTCTTTATCTTCTACATCACCTGCACAAAATATAATACATGTAAATCATGAAAATAAGTTAAACATAAACCAGATATGTGTCCACAGGACACAGATGCCCCCACATTCAACTTTTGTCAGTCTACGGACAGAGGCTTCTCTACATGTATTGCAATTTGTATATACATCACTTTATTGATTATTCCAAAAGTATATAGTTAGCAAACACATCAACTGGTATAACTTATCTATATTTGAGCCGTGTCATGACAAAACCAACATAGTGCGTTTGCGACCAGCATGGATCCAGACCAGCCTGCCCATGATGCGGCTCATTTTTTTCATTCAAATCATAATCAGAGATATACACACCTGTTTGTAGAGGAAGATTTAGAAGTTTAGTAATGGTTGCTATGTTGTCGTCTGCTGTATTTCTACCCTGTAATTTTCCCTCCTCACTACACAACACGGACAGGAAGTTCACACAGTACACATACAACTCCCTATTAGCAAAATCTCCTTCTAAAATTCTTTGCAGATTATCTGAAAAGGGGGACATAAAAAGAAAGAAATATAATTAAGATATATCTCTAATGATAAGGAAACAGAGATAAACATTTATATGCCAATATCTGTATTTCTGAGAAAAAATTGTTTTATGACCCAAGACCCTCCAAATACTGTGGTATAAATAGTAACAATTATTTGATTAACATTCAGAAAAGCTAAATTCTCAAGGACAAGAGACAGACAAAGTTGCTTTATACCTGCAATAAGAATACAATGGGAACCAAGATATAGTGGTATTATACCTGCAATGGGAACCAAGATATAGTGGTGTTATACCTGCAATGGGAACCAAGATATAGTGGTGTTATACCTGCAATGGGAACCAAGATATAGTGGTATTATACCTGCAATGGGAATCAATATATAGTGGTATTTTACCTGCAATGGGAAACAAGATAAAATGGTGTTTTACCTGCAATGGGAATCCACTGTTTCTGTAACACCTGGGCTAATACCTCCACAGCCGGGGCACACTGTACCTGTATCAATGTGGTCAGATATGATAACACAGCTTCCCATAATGCCAAGCAACTTGCATGAGTGTCCTCAGTTACTGTAATATGTAACACACAATATAATGTTAAATAAAATAAGATCATTTCAAGTACATTGTACAGTTTAATTTAACAATTTGAGCTTTATTTGAAATTAATCTACATATACAACAGCACTTGCACTCAAAAAGTTTTCCTCTATATTTCTTTTGAAAGTTTAACACAACTCTTTCATATTTTGTACTAAAAAGGCAAGTCATGTTTTTGTAGCTATGATAAAATATGCTGTAATAAAAGATTTTCTTTCCCCTTATTTTTTCTTTAAAATATTTACATCATCATCATCATCACACTCATCACCTTTTCATCACAAAATAAATTGAGGATACAAAATCAAGTCTGCTTAAAAAACTTAAGTAATAATATGTCCTTACCATCTGAGAAAATCCTAAGTAAGGACACAATGCCTCCGAGAGCTACTTTGTCTTGAAGTATATCTATCCTGGTTTGTGAGTCATGCACGAGACATGTACGTAACAGATGTAAGATATTAACATGCATTTCTACCAACTCTGAGAAAAACAGTTCTAGCTGCTGAGATGATGTAAGCACCTGAATTCCCTCTAAGAAACTGGCATCAATCAGACTGTAATAGAATATATACCATGTATTTTGTAAATACAGAAAATACCATGGATTTTAGCTGCTATAGAAAATACCATGGATTTTGTAGTTACCAAAAAGACCATGGATTTTCTTTTAACATAAAATACCATGAATTTTGTCAAAGAAAATACCATGGATTTTTTTGTAGTTACAGAAAATATCACTGATTTTTGTTAAAGAAAATACCATGGATTTTTTTGTAGTTACAGAAAATATCACTGATTTTTGTTGTTAAAGAAAATACCATGGATTTTTTTGTAGTTACAGAAAATATCACTGATTTTTGTTGTTAAAGAAAATAGTCAAAATACCAACGATTTTTGTACTGTAGTTACAGAAAATAACATAGATTTTGTGGATACGAAAACAGCACGGTTTTTTGTTGATACAGAAAATACCATGGATTTTTTTTATAACATAAAATATCTGGATTTTGTAGTTACATAAAATACCATGTTTTTTTTGTTGCAACAGAAAATACCATGGATTTTTGTTGATACAGAAAATACCATGGAGTTTTGTAGTTACAGAAAAAATACTATGAATTTTGTTATTACAGAAAATACTATGGATTTTTGTAGGTAAAGAAAACATCATGGATTTTTTTTCAAGTTACAAAAAAAATTATGGATTTTGTAAATACAGAAAACACCACAGATTTTTGTTGTTACAGAAAATACCGAGGAGTTTTGTTGTTACAGAAAAAAACACAGATTTTTGTTGTCTTTGTTATCGAAAATACTATGGATTTTAACATTTACTGAAAATCGCACTGTTTAATCACAGAAAATACCATGTGTTTACAGTTATTTTATTAAACAAATTATAAACTTCTGTTTTGCTCTTCTTTGCTAAACCAAAACATATAAGAAATATTGATTAAATCAGTGTATTTTAAGTTAAGGATTAACAATCATTACACAGTCTTCCAAATTTGACAAATATCACAAAATTTCACTTCTCTCTGCAAAGCTTAAACAAATTGAAGAAATATTTACTCACCTAACAAAGAATGGTATAAGTGATTCATTTTTTAACGAAGTGACAGTATCTTGTGGAGCTTGTATCATCATATTACGTACTAGCTGAGATATTGACGATACCAAACATGGTGTTGTAACATTCTCATACGTGATTACCTCCCTTCCCTCATCATCTGCTCCTTGACCTGGCAAAAATATCAATACAATTGCATAATTGAATTCAAATTATACATTTCAATTTTTTTTAATTCTTTACAATTTAAGTTCAATTTTTTTCATGCTGATGTAATGAAAGCGAATAAATAACAAGCACTTCCGGCTATACAAGTATTCTAAGTGACATGCTACTTTTCTGTATCAATTCAAAAACAAAAATATGAACAAGGAAATAGAACCTAGGCTTTTATGAACAATATTCAAATATGTTCATTAGACAGATACTTTGATCTTTGGTGGTAATTGGGGTATGACAAAGTAGATTTAACAATATTTTTACCTTGATCTCTGGTGGTAATTGGGGTTGTTCTGCTACTACTATTTGGGGTTTGCTGGGTAGCTGTATGTCCATTAGCACCAATAACACCAGGTCGCTCTGACATTCTTACTGACGATACACCAGATGACTGTGGAAACAAACAAAATACTACATCTCTTTATTTGAGCCGCGCCATGACAAAACCAACATAATGGGTTTGCGACCAGCATGGATCCAGACCAGCCTGCGCTTACGCACAGTCTGATCAGGATCCATGCTGTTCGCTTACAAAATCTATAACAAGTAGAGAAACTGATAGCGAACAGCATGGATCCTGAGCAGATCGGCGGATGCGCAGGCTGGTCGGTCACAAACCAATTATGTTGGTTTTGTCATGACACGGCTCATTTCATTTTATACAAAAACAATCAAATATTTATAGTCTTATCCTCTTAAAATTGTAAAGTATCATTTTAATTCATGCATAGCTGACTTCTAAGAGTATATATCTGAACCTTATTATAAAATATACAGACAGATAAACCAACAGTATTATAACTCTGGCAAAATATGAAAAAAAAGGTTGACTTGACATTGGTGCAGAGAACTTGTTGTTTTAAGTTGTTGTTTTTTTTGTGTTTTTTTTTTTTTTTTTTTTTTTTGGGGGGGGGGGGTTCTTTTGTTTTTAATTGATACACATCAATACATTCTATAAACTGTCATTCTTACTTAAGGGCAGCCAAAAAAAAGCAAAAAAAAATTACTCTTTTGTGTTTTTTTTAACACTTTTAAGTGCTAGCTGTGATTGTTAAAACATAAGCTAAAACTATACAGCTAGGCCTGCCTACCTACACTGCCAAACACTCTAACAAAACACTATTATCCTTGCAGCTTCATATTTATTTTGTCTTTATATTGAAATCAATACAACTTCTAATGAACTCTTTTAAAATTCAAAGCACTGAAAATAAGACCATTACCCTAATTCATCAGGACACACAGATTATATGAATGAATAGAAATAATCATAACAAACCTGTAACAGAGACATGGTATTGTGGTGGGAACTTGTAGGTTTAGGTACCAACCCGGCATCAGCTGAAAAACAAACAGTTGTGCGATATTCATAATAACAGCAAAAGTTACTGTAACGTAGTATAGAAAAATCTATGTATCTTTATATCAGTAAAGCCATACCTTTCCCATGAAATTTTCATTTTCTGTGAATTGATAGATTCTTTCAATTCTAGGCTTAAAGTCAGCACATGTGCAATAAAAATGCTTCATCATAGGGCATTCTTAACATAAAATATAAAGTAAAGTTAATACTTACAATGTACCATAAACATATATATAGAGCATACTGAATGAGGTGTAGGTTTAATACTAAATTTATTGAACGAGTTGAATAAAATCATATTATGCGAGCATCGGACAAGCATAATATTGTTTTATTCCACGAGTTAAATAGTTAGTATTGAATCTTCACAAACATAATGTTTTTTTAATCACATATCCAAAATCATAACAGCTTAGGGTCATTTTTCATTGACATGCCTATAGTGTAACGCTAACATTAGTGCGCTTTAACACTATGTTTGTATATAACGCAAATGATGTCACATCAAAGTGTTATTACACTAGTGTATTACTGTTTTTTGTTAAATGGCTTTATTAAACTCCTGGGCCTTGGTTTATGTGATAAAAACATATATGACAAACATACACACATACATATAACTTATACATATATATATATATATACATGTAACAGGTTTAATTCACAGAAAAAACAAAATAAGCAGGGAGTAACAAGAGATTTAAACAAGCTACATATACCCAATAACTTACCTAGAACTGACAGTGTGTTGTCTGAAGCAGAAGCTGATAATTGGTAAAGGTCAGAGGTCACAGATGGCTGGATAGTGGGTTGTGGGTAATAACTTGATAACAGTACTGTCATCTCTCTGTAGAACTGACAATGGTGTAACAGGGCCAGGAGGGCAGTGAGTCCGGTCAGGGAAACCTGAGATTCTGTATCCATGACAACTGGGCCTAGCCAGGTTTTGTGGTCAGACTCGGAGCTTCCGCTGGGTAAACTGTGTGATGTCAGGTTGACCAATAATAAAGCAGCCTAAAAATATTTTTAATTCATGCATCAGCTATATTGTATTTTACAAAAGTCATGAAAAATTTACATATATGAGAAAAATATCAGACCATTAAATCATTTTTTCAAACTTTAAGGCATTTCAATAACTAATCTATTTTTAAATAAGAACACTATTTCATTTTTAAAAAGCTTATAATAATTCTATATCAAGCAGGAATTTCACATATCTAATATTTCAAATCCTGATTATATTGAAATGTAGAACTTTTATGACACAGAAAACTAGAAAACTATAAAATATGCCTAATTGGATACATTATCTTCAGTCTCTTGCAAACAAAAATTTACTTACCTGTTGACGAACCATACTGCATTCTGATTGGTCCAGCAGTATACTGAAAGCTGCCGCCCAAATGCCTCCTGGGATATGTTTACAATTTGTAGTCAGCAGCAGACGACCTTCCTCTGTTATACTCAAGGTCACAGCAATACCAAGGCCAGCACTCCTTACCTGCGGTTTAAGAAAAAAGTATAATCAACATAATAATGATTCTTTAAAGGCACATTAAGCCTCAGAAATTAATACATAATTTTCTTTTCTTTGCTTTGTTTTACAATATTTTAATTACGTAGACAAAGTTTATGGTGTTTTACAATGTTTGCATTAACTCGTAAAGTATTAGGTTGATAAATTATTCAAACATAAACTTTATCTTAGAAACATACACATGATAAATGTCTACCCAAATGGGGAAAAAACCCACTACTAGTAAAACTTTCAACTGACATAAATTCGTCCTGGTATTAGAGAATATATGCTTAGAGATTATTATAGTAAACATGTTGTGCATCATAAAGTAATGTATGTTCACAAAATCATGTACAGATTAAAAATTTCTACCCATCCTATTAGAGGGTCTTATTAAAAAGTGCTGTTTTTTAGTCAAAATAAAGGACCTGCGTCTTATAAGTGGTTCGTGTTATGGGTGAGTAATTATAGTACTACATGTACACTGTCATATAATCTTACCTCAGCATCTCTGTATGCCCACAATGTAAGCATCCAGTCAAGACCCAGGTCTCCACTCGCATCATCAGCATGTCGGGAATACAACCATTTCTTAGGCCACATCTACAAACAAATTCACCCTAATGTTGTTTAACTTTGTATCATAATGTATCGAGTCACAAATCAAATGCTATAAAGGACTTATATATCAGACTCAGCAATTTTCTGTCAAAATTCTGACAGACATTGGGACTTAATAACATAATGAGACAGGTAACAACATGTGGTTTTGTGAAATTGATTCCTATATAATTTAATCGTTAATCATTGTCATAGTGATGCTGCCATAAAGGTGTGAAAAATATTACTGTACGTTCACATTCGACAGTATTTCGTGAAATATGTTTAACTCACATCAAACTAATCAACAGCTAATATTATGTATCAAATATAGCATGAACATTCCGAAAACCTCTTTTTCAATGATCATAAAAGATGGCTGTTTATAAAAGAATCAAATTATTAAACAGTACCTGATTATCTGACAATGTAGCCATTTCATACGCCAGGTGACGCAGACATAGAGTGGCTGCCTTGGTTACACCTTTCCCCATAAATGACATAGAAGTTCCACCACGCCCAATGTGAAATGCCGAGACAACTTCAAGTAGACAGTTGAGAACTTGACAACATAGAGGACCTCTTTCTTGTTCTGTACATTCCTGACTCCAACCTGGCCTGAAACATAAATATCTTACTGTTACCTTATAGTTTATATTCCTACAAGAGGTTTAGCACAATTGAAAGACAGCCAAATCATATATGTATATGTTCTTTTCCTTGATAAGAGATCTCTAGGACTTTCATTATTAACAGATTTGTGATTTATACTATCTGTTAAATGCTGGTAAAATTGGTTGTTCTTTCAGCCTGTATAGTAAAATATCATCCTTGACCCCTGTCAAAATCAGTTGTTTTCTTTGTCACATCTGTTGCCTCAGATAAAAAAAGAAAATCCTAGATCTCCATCATAAATGGCTAATGTTTCCAGACATTGTATGACTTGCCATCCACCAATGTGGGTTCGAATCCCACAAAGGAGTTTTATATCATTTTATGAGAGAAATGTATTCAGCTAACTGATGGATTGTTGACTTAACTAATCAGGTGCTTACATCTGCCTGAAAGGTTCTCTGCTTTTCATATGCTAGATATATTAAAGGAACTCCACTAAGGATTTTTTGATATGAAGGTACTGGAAATAATTTGTAAAGCTTAATGTTCCATTTGATGACCTTCTAGACCAATAACTTGTGTGTAAAATTTTAAATCATTTCGCTCACACTGTTTTCCTGAATAATTATTTTGATTGTGAAAATATACCCAAAATAACAACACTTTTCATTCAATTTGGAGTAAGAATAGCACAAAAACACAACTTTTAATTAATTTCTTTATATATATTTTCTATTTATGTTTTGTATATCTTTCTGTTTTAAGTGCTCCAGCTGGACTTTGTAAGAAATTCAAATTTTATGTATTTAGGCTTTTGGACCTCAGTGAAGTTCCTTTAAAAAATTTGTATTCAGTTCACACACATACCTTGCTGTGATGTGCATGAGACACTGTAATGTTCCCTCTAGTGACGCTAGGTTATAGAAATGTGGAGCATCTGTCACATTAAGTCTCTGTATTAACTTGTAAGCTAAATCTCCCCGTAACTGGTGAAACTTCAACCTGGTAAAATTATTAATATGTTGTGTCACAACAATATCATTTATAAACACAGATTTGGAAAAAAGGATGCAAATATAAAGAAATATAGATATAAAGACCTTTATAACTGGAAACATTGTCCTTTAAAATATACCAGTGGGTTACCAGGTAAGTAAGCAAATTGCATTATATTGAATTTAAATGATATAATTTAACACAATTGTAGTCTTATCAAATACTAATATAAATCAAGACACTAGGGTACCTAGAACTTACCTGACAGTAAGCTGATATGGCAGGGAACTGTTGTAAGCTGATATAAATGCAAGGAGAGACTTGTCCAGGCTTCTGTAATTTATCAAATAAAACAAGTGTCACTCAAATGTCACTCAATACAAGTATGACAATTACAAGTTTTAGCAAAGGATTTTATTTTTCTTAGTTTTGTAAAGGAGACTATAATAACATGGATAATATTATTAAATAATATTTATTGCTTAAAGTACTATTGCATATATTTGACTATGCCACCTATAATAGAGCCATGCTGGTATGTATATCTGACCTTACCCAGTCTGACAATATACTGTAGACTGCTGAACTTAAATACATAGTCAATTAAAAATTATATGAGGAGCAAACCCGTTACCGCACTAAGGTGACAATATGTACAATTACCTTCATATTCCTCTGATTTATAACAGTCCATCTTAAATCAAACAAGTTCTTTACACATCTATATTAAAGAAGTTTGATTAATCTCTAACAACGCATGTGCATGTCAGGTGTTTCACAGCTTTAATGCTAGGGCATCTCAGGTGTTTCACAGCTTTAATGCTATTATTGTTGTATTCTCCCCTTAATCTCTAACTATAATGACATAATTACTGTGTATGAGTGCATTTGGATACCTTTTGATATTAACTAAAGGCTCAGACACTTCCTCAGCAGCCTCTCTTGCTGACTGTCTATGTAGCAGACCAATCAGGGGACCTTTTGGATGATAGAGCACCTCTCCGACCCACTGTAAAATGTTATCTGGCGCATGATTGGTCAGTTTCAGAACTATGCTGATGAATCTCAGTATGTCTAACAGGAGGGACTCGTCTGCTGATGATGAAGGTGTCACTTTAACAAACCTGGAATTAAATTTAAGAAATAAATTATTCTTACATACACTGTACCCTCCTCACATTAAATTCATTATATAAACCAAAATATATTTTAGTTTGTGTAGGAAGCTATAAGTTTATACACCTGGAATCAACAAGTATTGAACTATTAGTGTACAGTTTGTCGCTCAAGGAAATAATGACTTGCCCCCTGACAGGGTTTGAACTCGTAAAATTAGCAATCCTTTAATTGTTAGGTAGATGCATTAACCACTTGGCCATGCCACCACTTTCAAGATTTGAAGAAGGAAATATAAATGTTTTTAAATAAAGGTTTCTTTTTTTATCAAACTGACTTCTGGTTACAGATTTTCAAAGCTACACGCTTAACTCTGTCTGATAGACAGTGAGTGGTTGCTGGGCAAGTATTGATAACTGTTTGATACAAGACCACATTTTGTAATTGAATATCATACTTCTAAACATTTGTTGCATAATATAAGTTTAAAATCACTTAACCAGCAAATATTATTTCTTCCACAGGACAATTTTTTCATGATTTACAACAAAAAAAAAATTTACAAAAAAAACTTTTGAGACAGCCCCCAGTGAGGATCGAACTCACGACCCCTGGTTTACAAGACCAGTGCTCTAACCACTGAGCTATGGAGGCAGTTGGCCAACTGCACAGAAATAGGAGATAATATTTGTAGGTATAGAGTTTTTTATATTTCTTGTTCTAAATATAGGCAGAAATGTCATGTGACCAAATATTTATAAATAGATATCTACATGTATGTTATATAGCTATATATAGAATAATCAATAAAATGTATGTATAAAAGAGTATTATATGTATCTGTGTCAAAATGATATTTTAATCTTAATGAAATTAAAGCTGCTTGGTAGCATATGATCAATTAGAAATCTACAAGAATCTATTAGAGATTTAAATATCATATCATAATTTATTCAACTTGTACATGTTTACATTTTTGCAAGGGAAAAACAAACATTTCATGTTCAATAATAAAGAGCACAAATGAGATCAAAAAATAAATATGCTTATAGGGAACTCCTTTTTTTATGAAACCTACAAAATGTATTAAAAGATGAAATAAATGAATGACTCTGAAAACTGATTAGTTTTTCTGAAATATGTGTTACAACATTATCAAAGTACATCAGGAACTACTCTTGATTTCAATTTCTACAGAAACCAAATTTCAATTACTACAGAAACCAAATTTCATTTACTGCAGAAACATCATTTTACTTCAAATACAGAAAGAACAATGTTCATACTGCAGAAATTACATTTTATTTCATTTACATTTCATCAACTGCAGGAACTACATTTGATTTCAATTACAACAGAAACTTCATTTCAACTACTACTTAAAATACATTCAATAACCAAGGAAATAACATTTCAATTACTGAGCAAGGAAATTACTCACCTAGCAATGGCCCCACACCAGTCTAGTGTATGGAAGATTGTTGTTACAGCTTTATCACATCTTACCACCAGATAACTGAGTAATCTGGTCAGTGACCTTGACACGGCATGGTGAGATGTAGAGTTAGATATGTCATAGATTGCTGACTGAAGTCCCTGTTTCACATGACTTGTCACAGATACAACACGATCTGTTGGGGTCAGCTTTAACTTGGGAGAAAATCTGCAATAATGAGTAAATTATTTACACTTTAAATCAAGTGATTGCATAACTACAGTTAATGAGTCTTGTCTTAAACAAGAGGGCCATGATGGCCCTGGATCGCTCACCTGACACAACCGCATCCAAGCAATGTCTTAAACAAGCATCATGGCCAAGTTTGATGACAACTGAGTCAAACATGTGACCTCTAGTGTGTTATAAAGATTTTTCCATATTTGGGCAATGTGACCTAATTTTTGATCGGACACGACCCATATTCAAACTTGACCTAGAAATCATCAAAACAACCTTCCTGACCAATTTCCAGGAAATTTAGATCAAAACTGCAGCCACTAGAGTGTTAAAAAGATTTTTCTATTTTTAGCTCCTGTGACCTAGTTTTTGACCGGACATGACCAATCTTAGCACTTGACCCAGAAATCATCAAAACAACCTTCCTGACAAATTTCCAGAATATTTGGATCAAAACTGCAGCCACTAGAGTGTAAACAAGCTTTTTCTATTTTTAGCTCCTGTGACCTAGTTTTTGACCTGAGATGACCCATCTTCGAACTTGACCCAGAAATCATCAAAACAACCTTCCTGGCAAATTTCCAGAATATTTGAATCAATACTGCAGCCACTAGAGTGTTTACAAGCTTTTGCTATTTTTAGCTCCTGTGACCTAGTTTTTGACCGGAGATAACCCATCTTCGAACTTGACCTAGAAATCAACAAAACAACCTTCCTGACAAATTTCCAGAATATTTGGATGAAAACTGCAGCCCCTAATGTGTTAACAAGCTTTTCTATTTTTAGCTCCTGTGACCTAGTTATTGGCCGGAGATGACCCATCTTCGAACTTGACCTAGAAATCATCAAAACAACCTTCTTGACAAATTTCCAGAATATTTAGATGAAAACTGCAGCCACTAGAGTGTTAACAAGCTTTTTCTATTTTTAGCTCCGTGACCTAGTTTTTAACCTGAGATGACCTATCTTCGAACTTGACCTAGAAATCATCAAAACAACCTTCCTGACAAATTTCCAGAATGTTTGGATGAAAACTGCAACCATTAGAGTGTTAACAAGCTTTTTCTATTTTTAGCTCCTGTGACCTAGTTTTTGACCAGACATGACCCATCTTCTAACTTGACCTAGAAATCATCAAAACAATCTTCCTGACAAATTTCCAGAATATTTGAATCAAAACTGCAGCCACTAGGGTGTTAACACGCTTTTTCTATTTTTAGCTCCTGTGACCTAGTTTTTGACCGGAGATAACCCATCTTCGAACTTGACCTAGAAATCATCAAAACAACCTTCTTGACAAATTTCCAAAATATTTGGATCAAAACTGCAGCCCCTAGAGTGTTAACAAGCTTTTTCTATTTTTAGCTCCTGTGACCTAGTTTCTGACCGGACATGACCCATCTTCAAACTTGACTTAGATATCATCAAAACAACCTTCTTGACAAATTTCCAGAATATTTAGATGAAAACTGCAGCCCCTAATGTGTTAACAAGCTTTTCTTTTTTTGGCTCCTGTGACCTAGTTTTTGACCAGAGATGACCTATCTTCGAACTTGACCTAGATATCATTAAAACAACCTTCCTGACAAATTTCCAGAATATTTGGATGAAAACTGCAGCCACTAGAGTGTTAACAAGCTTTTTCTATTTTTAGCTCCTGTGACCTAGTTTTTGACCGAAGATGACCCATCTTCGAACTTAACTTAGATATCATCTAAACAACCTTCCTGACAAATTTCCAGAATATTTGGATCAAAACTGCAGCCACTAGAGTGTTAACAAGCTTTTTCTATTTTTAGCTCCTGTGACCTAGTTTTTGACCGGAGATGACCCATCTTCGAACTTGACCTAGATATCATCAAAACAACCTTCCTGACAAATTTCCAGAATATTTGGATGAAAATTGCAGCCACTAGAGTGTTAACAAGCTTTTCTATTTTTAGCTCCTGTGACCTAGTTTTTGACCTGAGATGACCCATCTTCAAACTTGACCTAGATATCATCAAAACAACCTTCCTGACAAATTTCCAGAATATTTGGATGAAAACTGCAGCCTCTAGAGTGTTAACAAGCTTTTTCTATTTTAAGCTCCTGTGACCTAGTTTTTGACCGGAGATGACCCATCTTCGAACTTGACCTAAAAATCATCAAAACAACCTTCCTGACATATTTCCAGAATATTTGGATAAAAACTGCAGCCACTAGAGTGTTAACAAGCTTTTCTATTTTTAGCTCCTCTGACCTAGTTTTTGACCGGAGATGACCCATCTTCGAACTTGACCTAGATATCATTAAAACAACCTTCCTGACAAATTTGCAGAATATTTGGATGAAAACTGCAGCCTCTAGAGTGTTAACAAGCTTTTTCTATTTTTAGCTCCTGTGACCTAGTTTTTGACCCGAGATAGCCCATCTTCGAACTCGATCTGTATTTCATTAAGACAAACATTCTGACAAAGTTTGATGATGATCCAATCAAAACTGTGACTGCTAGACTGTTAACAACCCAATTGTTAGAGTGTTAACAAGCTTTTTCTATTTTTAGCTCCTGTGACCTAGTTTTTGACCGGAGATGACCCATCTTCGAACTTGACCTAGATATCATTAAAACAACCTTCCTGACAAATTTCCAGAATATTTGGATGAAAACTGCAGCCTCTAGAGTGTTAACAAGTTTTTTCTATTTTTAGCTCAGGTGACCCAGTTTTTGACCCACGATAACCCATCTTTGATCTCGATCTGTATTTCATTGAGACAAACATTCTGACAAAGTTTGATGATGATCCAATCAAAACTGTGACTGCTAGACTGTTAACAACCAAATTGTTGACGACGCATGACGCACGACGACGGACATAGCCCCATCACTATACCTCACCTTGACCTCTTCGTGGTCAGGTGAGCTAAAAATGCAACAACAAAACATTTTACATGTATCTTGTTTGTTTGTTTGTTTCATTTTACGCCTTTTCCCAAAAGTATTTCAGTCATATATAGGCGGGTAGTTTCCTAACCATCGTTCCTGGAGAGTTACATCAGAACTATACTACCTTCCTCCACAGTAAACTACCAAAGCATCCCCCGGGGATCGAACCCACGCCAGAGAGGTAACTGGATTAGAAGTCACCGACTCTAACCCCTCGACCACGGAGGCGGTTTTACATGTATCTATGATATGTTAATTTAACCAACAATTTAAGTAAATAGAAAATGTAATAATGATATATGTAAGTTTTATAGATGTCTACTACATGAAATCACCAACCAAAAATATCTTTGCTTTAGACTTTTTTTGTTTCAATCAAAATTTTAATTTTTTTTTTTTCATCCATAAAAAGTAAATGACAACAAAAGCAACACTACGGCAGAACCATTTATAACTATAGGGCCATGCTTTCAACAACTATTGTAGAAATCTCCTGAAACAACATGTACATAACCAGTGTCTAAGCTGAACTTAAAACTTAAGCAGTCTCTATTGAATGGCAAAAAAACTTACTCTTGATTAGCATCCAGTGATTTATTCTCTGCTAATGTTTTAACCAAGGAATCCATCCCAGAATGCCATGCTGCATTCCATGTTATCCTCATCATCTCTAGAGGCTGTCCGGTCATTAGAGGATCTGGGTCCGGTGGGGACGCACATCGATTTGGACTCTTCTCAAAATGTGTGTGAGCACGGAACGGTAGTTTGTACCTGAAATACACATCATTATAAATACATGAGGATAATTTCACTTTCATTTAGAAATTTTATCTTCATTTTTATAAAGTCCTTAAAAATGATTAATAAAATTTACTTTTGCTTCATCATTAAACTAATAAATTTTTTATAAGTAATAAAGATTAAGTATGCGCTAGCAAATATTTTTAAGCATATTTAAAATATGTACACTAATTATAAATATTATGTGTATCAGCTGTACTAAAAAAGTAGGATGCTTTCCTTACCTAAGTTTGACAATGTTTGGAACAGAAAATGTAGTAGTTTTGCTTCCCCTGGAAAAAAAAGTTAAATATATTAAATCATAAAAATATAGAAACATACAGAAGCACCATATGCAGTGTTAATATTTATCTGTTAAAAAGGGGTAAAAACTCCAAAAATATAGCTTTCGGATGATGCCCCCTTGTCATAATAAGCGAGCATTCCAAGTTTATGTTGATAACTGTAAAATTGTTGAATAATGGCTTATATTTGCACCATAGTGACAACGATCATTCATTTTATTGACATTTTACATGCTATCAAAATAGAAAATATATTTTCAACAAAACTGACACAATTTAAATGATTAGCTCATTTTTTTTAACCCTTTTCATAGCTCAATTCGTAATCTCCCAACTTTTAAGACCCTTTGGTAACAGCTTGTGGGTAGTCTGCCGGTCCTTTTCCTTCCTAGTATTGAGGGAAAAGGTAAAAACATTTTTCTTTTTTAACTAAGGGTAGAAAAATAAATGAGACTTACCCCGAGAACCTAGCTTGCTCATCAAACAAGAGTAGAGTGAGAACATGAGAAACTTCGTAACATGTTCTCTCATCTCTATGATGGAGAAGTGCCACTGAAATTTATCAAATAAAACAGTAATATTGCAATCATTAATTGTAAAGAATAATGAGCCGTGTCACGACGAAACCAACATAATGGGTTTGCGACCAGCATGGATCCAGACCAGCCTGCGTATCCGCGCAGTCTGATCAGGATCCATGCTGTTCGCTATCAGTTTCTCTACTTGTAATAGGGTTGGTAAGCGAACAGCATGGATCCTGATCAGACAGCGCGGATGCGCAGGCTGGTCTGGATCCATGCTGGTCGCAAACGCACTATGTTGGTTTTGTTGTGACGCGGCTCAAATGTTCAAAACTTACACATATAACAGATGTTACTCGAAACAGTACACAGGTAAATTTTAACGACTAGCCTTGTCATGTGAATTGTTAGCTACTCATCACTTTGACAACAAGAGCTGTCAGTAGCATGCTCAACTAATCTCAATGCTTGTTAGTAAAACTAGAGCCAAAACAAGTTCAAAAACAGCCATTATTTTGTCAAAATTCATGTTAGAGTTAGGGGGCTGTGTAGTGACCTACTTTTATGCTCTCAAATAAGTTAGTGAAGTTTCAATGCATTCTCTTCACTAGCATTGGAGATATCAAATAGCAAGCAAAAACTTAACCAAAGTGTGATGTCAACACCAACTCCTGAGTGTGTATAATAGTTCTCTCTATTCTTAAAATTGTTGAGTTAATGGTAACAATGGAGGAACCATTATATTACCACTTATCAATAATGAAACACCATATGAATAAGGGACCCACTTATCACAAATTTTGTTATTAACTCTTGATATTTGCCTCATGAATTAATATATCACATGCCACTAAACTTCTAAATGATGTCATTTATACCATAACTTTCTATGTCTGTTATCTCTTAGCCAACCAGCAGCAACAGATTTTACCCATGCGACCAGTGCAGACCAAGATCAGCCAGCACATCCATGCCATCTGATTATGGTCTGCACTGTTTGCTATTCAATCAGTACATATTTCAAAACTGTCCCTACAAATCATAAATGGTTTTGTCCAGACTGAAAGATGGATAAGTCCATTTAAGATAATTAATAGTTTCAGGGGTTAAATTAAAAGGATAGGACATTATAAACCTCCTATAACACACTTTGATTATGTAATAGAATTGTCTTGCTGTGAAAAGTAGAAACTGTCTACTTCTAACTGAAGGAATATCAATATGAACTATTCTTACCTCTAAGGAGTGTATAATACAAGCTGGCATTATGAGCCATTTTATGTCTCAGTGAGTAGTCATGGTGTATCAGATGTCTCAATACTGTCATACATCCAGGTAAATACTGTATATTGTTGTTCTGTAAAATAAAATGTACACATAATACTACATGTTTGTAACGTCACTTTTCATTGGATTATCATGATATTTATACAGGATTTTATAATACTGCATGTTTTTAATAACGCTTTTCATTGGATAATCGTGAGGTTTATAAAGTTTAATATACATGGCTGCTGTTAATTTATGAAGAAATCTCACTTTCTTTGTCTAAATGTTCAATGTACTTCAATTATGACGATGGCTTTTGAAAGCTCATCACCCGATAGCATGTAAATAATTTAAAAATGATCAACATTTTTACCTATTTGTGATAATTTAAATCATAACATATTTCTAAAGCTTCTCAAATCATAATGATGGCAAACAGTAAACTCATGAAAGATTTCCAATTGCATTATTTGACTACAATGCCATACATAAGGTATAAAATGAGTTATTATTGCTGGGAATTATTGTTATTTTATTGATATTTTTTAAGACCAGCTTTGAAACTGACATTACCAAGAAAGAGTAATCATTTATAGGTAACCTAAGACTTACAGTATTAGAGTCACCATCTCTCAGTACACCAAGCTGAAGATGTGCCAATATCTTCTCAAATCCGCCATCTTTTTTAAATGCTGGGTGAAGAGTAGGGTCTGTTAAAATAAAAACAATTTGATAAAATTTGTGGCATATACTGCTTTCACGGATTCACATATTTTTTACAAAAAATTATCTTGAGTAGAAATTTTCATTTAAATTGCATATGCTATAAAAAAAAAATCTGAGATTATATAGTTACGTAATGACAATGAATTAAAGCGCCTTTCAGCATTTCTGTTGGAAAATCAATTCTGTGTTGTTTCAAACTAAGTTTTCAGTAATGTTAACTTTAAAAAGTGCAAAATATCACTTTTAAGTCTTCTCCAAAACAGCGTCTCGAGAGCTATTCATATGTTAGTGATGTTCTTTTCTAAAATATAGAAGATCGGGAAACGAATTGTCCTCCTTACTAATTTAAATATAGAGAGCGGACTGGTATATTACAGGTATCGAGGGATTTCCTAATTGTTGATGTATTTTATCGTCAGCAAATTTCATTTTCCACCTAAGTTCTTTTGATTTGACAATTATATGAAACAATTTGTCTAAAAATAATAGATTAAACCTTTAGAAAAGCTGAAGATAGCTTAAAATGAAATGTTTTTTTACCTTGCAGTATAATAGCAAGCTGATCTACAGCCGATTTCTTCACACCAGGATCGACAGAGAGTGATGTAAATATTTCATAAACTTTCCGTAAGCCATCAACCTTTAATACAAAATGATAAACAATGTATACAAGAGCTGTTCAACAAGTTCGAGGAATTTTGCAGTAACTCCTTTATTTTCTAATATTTTCTCTTTATATTTATCTTTATTTTGTATTGACATAATACATATACATTGAATTCAAAGAATATTTTAAATAAACACCCAAAATACTCATATCCATAGTAACCCATGTCTTGCTTGTTGCCAGGCTCCATTTTTCATATTTGATATTCTTCCATTATTAATGCAAAAACATCATTTTTAGAATAGAAAAAATTAGAGTGAAATTATTAGACATTCAAGTAATGTTATGACGTAACAATGTATACAGTCAAACCTGTATAAGAGAGACAGTATTGGGAATTTGTAAAAGTGTCTCTCTTATACAGGTGGCTCTCTTATACAGGGCTGAACTCTGGCTAGGAAAAGTGACTATTTTTAACTATTTTTTAGAATATGACGTAAAACACCTGGTGTCCTTACTTAATTTTATAAACTAAGTGAAAACGTAATCAAATTATTTCATTCATACGGAGGTGAACTCTTAATCAGTTTTCTTGCATTCATTTAGATGAAATCTCAAACAGTTTTAGAAATAATGGCCATTTACAATAAATGTTTCAGTGAATTCAACAATTAGACTGCCATGTTTATATAACTGTGATAATCTCAGAGGCATAATTATTGTTAAAACGTCGGACATACAAAGTTAACTATGCTCGGTTATTGATTCAATTTAATTTCTTTTAAATCCGTAAACTGTAGGAAAAGATATCAATTACGTTTTATTCATACAAAAGGAAAGTAAAAACAAGTTGTTCTTAATACAATTGAAGAAATTTGCCGAGTAACGCTTTGATTTGCGACAATAAATAGTTACTACTATACGATTTATGTGACGATGATTATGCAAACAAAGAAAGGTCATGCCCCGTTGCATGTATTAGATTGATACCGTGTACATATTACACATGTATGTTGACACGTCTTCAAAACAATCCGATTAGTGATTATTAGACATTGAAAGGTATAGATTCAGCTTAATAAATTGGACAGCTTAAATTTTACTTGGCAATTAGATTTCCTTAATGTGGTTTATTTAAAAGAAATTTCCATGCACAATTATAATTTCACTTTACTTTCGTTTATGGTACGAAAACGGTATGGTACGAAAACGGTATGGTACAGAAAAAATATTGGATCCAAAATGGCGACAAACGTTCTTGTACTGGCCGTTTTATCTGGTAATTTTGGCTATTTGGGGATGAAAATGGGTGGCCGTTGGCGGCGTTGAGCAGGTGGCTGTCTTATAAGAGACAAATATATAGTAATTTACATTGGGGATGTCCAAAGATGGCTCACTTAGGCAGGAGGCGCTTTTATAAAGGTGGCCGATCGGCAGTTTTGACTGTACATATATTCAACACTTTATCACTTACTTTTGAAAGTCTAAAAAGACATTGACATAAGATTGCTTGCATTACATCCCCTTACATATGAATTCATTACTCATAAAAACATTTTAACCATTAACACGATAAATGTCTAATATGGACTTGTCTGACAAAACCATTTATCATTTTTAGTGAAAATTTCAAAAAAAGTTACTGAGTGAATAGCACAAACAGCACAGATGGCTGATCTTAGTTTGCACTGGCTGCATGGGAAGATTTTTGCAGCTGTCCGCAGGCAAAAGATAAATAAACAGGAAATAAAGACAAAGTATCTTCATAGCAAGTATTATTGAGTGTGTGCCTTGAGCTTTTTCTATCACCTACTGCTAAATATTAGGATCATGATAGTTCTTATTTCAATTTTCTCTTATAATTTTCAACTTAATCTTGTAAACATGTTGTTAATTCTTCTACTTTGGCATAAATTTGGTAACAATTATGAGTTTTTTATTACCTGAAAGACAGATCTCCCGAGGTCTTCTTCTACAGATCTTTGTGTATCAACAATAAAAATGTTGGATAGATTTGAGACATCAAGGTCAGAGAACACAGGCAATTTTTTACCACTGTTAGTCTCATTTGATAGATACCAGGAAAGTCTCTTTAATGCCTCAGCTCTGACTCTGTAAAAACAAATATATTGCTAACATTGCCTTATATTTATGTCATATACATATGATATATCCAGTGCTCAGCAAATCATCAAGTTGGTGATATAACCCCACCTTTATAAACCAATTAGTGTCTGCAGCAATAACCCCTAGAATATATCCAGTATATAACCACCAGAACACATCCTGTATATAACAATCAGAATACATCCAGTATATAACCCCCAGAATACATCCAGTATATAACCACCAGTATACATCCAGTACATAACACCAGAATACATCCAGTATATAACCCCCAGAATATATCCAGTATATAACCCCCAGAATACATCCAGTATATAACCACCAGTATACATCCAGTACATAACACCAGAATACATCCAGTATATAACCACCAGAATATATCCAGTATATAACCACCAGAATATATCCAGTATATAACCACCAGAATATATCCAGTATATAACCACCAGAATACATCCAGTATATAACCACCAGAATACATCCAGTATATAACCACCAGTATACATCCAGTACATAACACCAGAATACATCCAGTATATAACCACCAGAATATATCCAGTATATAACCACCAGAATATATCCAGTATATAACCACCAGAAAACATCCAGTATATAACCACCAGAATACATCCAGTATATAACCAACAGAATACATCCAGTATATAACCACCAGAATACATCCAGTATATAACCAACAGAATACATACTGTTTATAACTACCAGAATACATCCAGTATATAACCACCAGAATACATCCAGTATATAACCACCAGAATACATACAGTATATAACCAACAGAATACATCCAGTATATAACCACCAGAATACATCCAGTATATAACCAACAGAATACATACTGTTTATAACCACCAGAATACATCCAGTATATAACCACCAGAATACATTCAGTATATAACCAACAGAATACATCCAGTATATAACCACCAGAATACATTCAGTATATAACCACCAGAATACATTCAGTATATAACCAACAGAATACATCCAGTATATAACCAACAGAATACATACTGTTTATAACTACCAGAATACATCCAGTATATAACCACCAGAATACATCCAGTATATAACCACCAGAATACATACAGTATATAACCAACAGAATACATCCAGTATATAACCACCAGAATACATCCAGTATATAACCAACAGAATACATACAGTATATAACCAACAGAATACATACTGTTTATAACCACCAGAATACATCCAGTATATAACCACCAGAATACATTCAGTATATAACCACAAGAATACATCCAGGATAGTCAACACATCCATTCAATTTGACTGCCAGTGATTTTTTTTGGTTGATTTTGACCCCGAAATAAGGCCTCTTCACAATGCCAAAAACACATAAAAAATTCACAAAAATGTGTAAAAAATTCACAATTGGCAGGATTGCTTTTCAGTAGCTAATAAAACAAGCAATTATCATAGTATTGCAAGCAATCCATAAGTCCCCTACCGGTTAGAACCCCAGCAACATTCTGATGGGCCATTGGCCATTCAATTTTACCAGTGAATGAATGACATGAATGAACTTAAATCTTTTGAGTTCTAAGTTTGTCTATATCACAGTAATGTGTTAAGTTTCCCTGCCTAGTAAGGAAATTATGTTTATACAACCTTGTCAAATTATTACGATGTGGGTTTTTAAAGTAAATCCTATAATGATTGAAGAAGTTGGAGTAAAAAATACCAATTTCTCGGAAAAAATCTAAGTTCAAGGGGGACATAATTCTGGAATTAGTCTTGCTAGAGTATTTAACATTCTCAAAAATGTTGAGTGATAATAAGAAACATATACATGTATATGAAGTTTGAAGTAGATACATTAGGAAATAAAGAAGTTATTTAAAAAAGACAACATTTTTTTTCATAAAAATTCTAAGTTCAAGGGAGGTAATTCTGATAATTTTTGTGCTAGAGTTGTAAACCTTAACACATATGATGTGGTTGGTGACCAGAAACTTATATTTAAAGTTTGAAGTAAACACCTTAAGAAATAAAGAACTTATAGTGAAAAAGCTGAAAAATTTAAATCAGAAATCTTGAAATTCAGGCTATTTGTTGCCATAGCAACCAGAATTTTCAACATAAGAAGAAAAGAAAAAAATGTGCATAATCTCCAGACTACCATCTACCCATATACCAAGTTTCATAAAAATATTTTCAGTACTTTTTGAGTTATCAGTGGATCCAGTTTATGTGTTAAATTTGCCATATTTTCAGACTATTTGTTGCCATAGCAACCAGAATTTTCAACATAGGAAGAAAAGAAAAAGATGTGCATAATCTCCAGACTGCCATCTACCCATATTTCAAGTTTCATAAAAATATTTTTAGTACTTTTTGAGTTATCGCGGGATCCAGTTTTGTGGACGGACGGACTGACGGACTGACAGACAGACGGACGGACGGACAGACGGACGGAGGGTAAACCTAAAGTCCCCTCCGGTTAAACCGGTAGAGGACTAATAATGAACTGACAAATGACAATCTTGAGAATTTTTTGTTTGTTTTGGGTTTTACATCACATCGACACAGTATAGGTCATATCGTGACGTTCCAGCTTTACTGGTGGAGGAAGACCTCAGGTGCCCTTTCGTGCATTATTTCAGGTACGAACGGGCACCTGAGTAGAACCACCGACGTTCCGTAAGCTAGCTGGATAGCTTCCTCACATGAAAGAATCCAAAGTCCCTGTCAGGATTCGAACCCACAGCGGTGAGGGGCAAGTGGTTTGAAGTCAACAATCCTTAACCTCTTGAGGATTGATATATTTGAGGGAATAAAAAGAAGAAAGCTGAAACTATGAATATAATTATTAAAATGTATGAATAAAGTGACTACAGGTGATGATTTATTTTTGTTTATTTTTTCACAATTTGACAGATTATCGCACTAAAAATTCACAATTTCAGGGGTATGGGTTGTTGCAAAAAAAGTTTTAAAAATCACTGACTGCTGCTACTAAATTTTAGTACACAATTTCTTAACCACAATAAAATACTAATGGACTGATCCATATTCAGAAACAATACAAGTCCATTATGTAAGGTCAGAATGGTAAGTGGTTATCATCAAGTAAAGTCATAGATTTATAAGCAAAAAATTTTCAAACTTTACAGTACTCACTTTAAGTCTGAAGACAGCATACATCTTAATGTACCCCTGAATTTCTCTATGTGTGAAAGTTCATTTGGGGATTCTGATGACTTTGGTTCCAACATAGACAACACTGTTGTCCCAATAACTGTTGTAGGTCCAGCATAGGACTGTAATTATAAACAATTTATCACACATTATGAAAAGGTACACATTATTGTGTTAATATTCATTCATTCTAATTCAGCTAATCAATGGTTTATTTTTTAATTGTTAGACATGACAATTACAGATCTTTGCCATAGTGTTGTCAAGCATATCTGTACTTCCATGCAGTCAAACATAACTTCTTATTGCTGAAAGCTCACTTATAAAACTTCAATTCTGAAACCCTTTGAATTACTAACAAGCAGTACAATCCATCAATTAAAACAATCATCAGATTAAAGATTAACCATGTATCATAATGAAAAGTTTACTAACTTGTAATATAGGTAATCCTCGCATTACAGCTTGTAGGAAAGCCTGCCATAATTCTGTAGACATCAATAATTGACTCTTCAAAAGGTGACACATTATATCTGTAGCACAACTTGCTATCTAAAATCAGAACATGTACTTCTTTTATATATAAGCCGCGTCATGAAAAAACTAAAATAGTGCGTTTGCGACCAGCATGGATCCAGACCGGGCCTCTGCACCCCGCGCAGACGGGTCTGGTTTCCCATACTGGCCCACAAATGCACTAGGGGGGGTTTTTGTCGTGACAGGGCCTCTTTTTTAAATTAAAAATAAATAATAAAGTTTAACATCGTACTAGTTATAAAATTGTGAAGGGACAAAACTTAACTTAAAAAATCTGGAACCAAAAGCGGTTAGCCTTCGCCCCAGTATATACATGTAGCCAGGCCAGTCGGCACATCTGTTCAGTCTGACCGGGGGCATTTTTTCGTTTTGATATTCCTAAAAATTTGATAAAGAGTTCTAACAAGAGGGCCATGATGACCATGAGGTGTCGCTCACCTGTATATAGGCCCGGAGCAGGGGGCCAGTTTTAACCCCAGGGGCTTTTTATTTGAACAAACTTGGAAGACACCCATAAGATGTTTCATGCTAAACATCTAAGCTGTAGCTCATTGGGTTTTTAAAAGAAGATTTTTTTTTCAAGCTTTTACTAATACACATATAGTTAAAAAAAATGACACCCCTGGGGCGGTGGCCAGTTTTTGACCCCAAGGCTTTTATTTTGAACAAACTTTGTAGACACTTTCTAGAAATGTTTCATGCTTAATATCTAAAACTCTAGCTATTTGGGTTTTTTCAAAGAAGATTTTTAAGTTTTTGCTATACACATATAAGGAAAATCTATGACCCCCGGGGCAGGGCCAATTTTGACCCCAGAGCTTTTATCTGAACAAACTTTGTAGACACTCACAAGAAGATGTTTCCTGCTAAATATCTTAGCTCTAGCTATTTAGGTTTTTCAAAAAAGATTTTTGAAAGTTTTTGCTTTACACATATATAAGGAAAATCTATGACCCCCAGGGCGGGGCCAATTTTGACCCCAGGGCTTTTATTTGAACAAACTTGGTAGACACACATTAGAACATGTTTCATGCTAAATATCTTAGCTCTAGCTCTTTGAGTTCTTTAAAAGAAGATTTTTAAGTTTTTACTATATGCATATAGGGAAAATCAATGACCCCCTGGGGCGGGGCCAATTTTGACCCCAGGGCTTTTATTTGAACAAACTTGGTAGACACTCATTAGAAGATGTTTCATGCTAAATATCTTAGCTCTAGCTCTTTTGGTTCTTTAAAAGATGATTTTTTAAGTTTTTACTATATGCATATAGGGAAAATCAATGACCCCCTGGGGCGGGGCCAATTTTGACCCCAAGGCTTTTATTTGAACAAACTTTGTAGACATTCACTAGAAGATGTTTCATGCCAAATATCTAAGCTCTAGCTCTTTGGGTTTTTTAAAAGAAGATATTTAAAGTTTTTTCTTTCGGTTGCCATCAACCAGAGTTCTGCATGGAATTAAAATTCTTTGAACAATTTTTAAAGGTGACCACCAAAGGAACATTCCTGTGAAGTTTGGATGAAATTGGCTTAGTGGTTTATGAGGAGATGTCATTTAAAGTAAAAGTTTACGGATGGACGACGGACGGATGATGGACGGCCGGACGCCGGACGAAAAGCGATCACAAAAGCTCACCCTGTCACTTTGTGACAGGTGAGCTAAAAATGGAAGATGAACCATTCTTTTAAAGAAATAATAGTTGTTTCACACAAAATAATGTTACCCCTCACACATATTCATGAGCAAAACCAAGATTTATTTCTTCTTCAATGAGAACTTAAATGAGCCGCGTCATGACAAAACCAACATAATGGCTTTGCGACCAGATGGATCCATGTTGTTCGCTATCAGTTTTTCTACATGTAATAGAGTTGGTAAGCGACCAGCATGGATCCTGATCAGACTGTGCGGATGCGCAGGCTTATCTGGATCCATGCTGGTCGCAAACGCACTATGTTGGTTTTGTCATGACGCAGCTCCAATGTAAGCTTACCTTTGCATCTTTGTCAGCCAAACCAAACACTATAACCTCATACAGTACATCAGCATTGATGATAAATTTTACCTTCAGACATGACGTAGAGGTAGGGTCGGATGCTTTAGCTACACTCAAGTGAGTCTGAAATATAACGGTCACCTTCATCGTAAAGGAAATTAAATATAATTTGCTTAGAGAATGTGTCCAGGTCCATTGAATTGGAAATTAGTCATGATAACAGGGAAATTAAAATTAAAAAAAGTCTTAATAATAGCCAAAATATGAATTTCAAAAAATTATCATAAGAAAACCAGAATTTTTAAACTATCAGGAATGGGTCAATGTACTTTAAGTAGGGGAACACACAGTTAGTATTGAACTGGTTATGACTATAGTGTACTTAAATAGAAAGAAATATATTTAATAACACTTTTTTTAAAACATTTAGTGCATTTATGTTGGACCAAATTAGCCTTCTTCCTTATCCAAAATAGAATTCTCCAAGAAAACCTAATTGTAATTAATGATTTATAATTCAATTTTCATATTTGACCTTGATAGTCAATGTTTCATAGTAAGTGTTCTTTTGTCAATGAAAAATAGACCCAAAATGGAAGATAATGAACTTCTTAGACTGCCTATTTATTTTAAAGCAACTTCCATAATAGTTTTTACCTATGCTAGTTGTAGAAATATTTATCAACTGTATTTCAAAGACACAGGACTTGACATTGGAATAAAGCAACTAACCTTTACTGTATTTAGGACATTTATATAGGCATGAAGTCTGATCTTATCTATGGGATGAGACAAACATTTCAACACTAACTTCCTATACGAGTCTTGTGCAACCTCATAATGCTGGGATTTGGAACACCTGAAAACAAATATACAGAAAGCTTGTCAGTTAAAAATTCTTAGTTAAAAAGGGTCAGAACTTCAAATATAGCTTTCAGAATTATGCCCCTTGTCAATATACTGTGTATTGCCATGATAAACAAGCATTCGAAGTTTCATACTTTTTAAAATTGTTTGAGTAATAAGCTACATGTAAGTTTTTGGATGATGACAAAAACGTCAACACTGTCGCACCAAAAATAATAGCTTGACTTTTCCTTTGAAAAAGACAAGCTAAAAACTGCTTACCCTCCACAACGCAAAAAACCAAAATTGTCCATATTTATAACCCTATTATTACATGGATATTAATGTTTAATATCATCTGTGTGTGTGAGTGTGCAATAATTCCTCTCCTCAAAGTAATTTCTACACACACGATGATCCAGGAATAAGATGGGAAAACTCCCAGACTAAGTAACATGAACTTTACTTAAAATTTCTCAAATTAATATTAGTCTCACTATCTCAAATGCAAGTAAAATTCCAATGCAAAAAAATCTTATTTTATCCTCAGTTTTCATACCTGATCAATTACTCACTGGGTTTCCCCAAAGAAAAAAATATTTTAACCATACATGTAACTTTCTAAATTTCTTGGTTTCAAAAAACAAGATCAGAAAGAAATAACTGTGATGATGAAAAAAGCTTAAAATCAGTCAAGTATTATGTAACTTACACATCTGAGCAAAGTTTGATGATTTCTGTGACATAGTTTAAGTGTCGATGGTATGGTAGGCATATAAATGCTCCCTCGCACATACTTAATGTATCCTTAGATAGCCTTGAGGCCTGAAATATAATATCACAACAATATTCTACATGTCCTACTGAAATCAGTGAAATTATTTATACATCTGATACTGAAATTAGTGATTTTATTTATATATTTGCTACTGGTATCAGAGAAATTATTTATACATATGCTTCTGTATTCAGTAAAAATTATTTATACATTTGCTACTTAAATCAGTGAAATTATTTGCATTTTATTTGCATATAGCCAGAGATTTTTACTGACACAATAACCCACTGGCACAAATATTTCCATGGCGGCATGGCCGAGTGGTTAACGCGTTGGACTACTAATGATTGCTAGCAGCATGGGCTCAAACCCCGTCAGGGCCAAATCATTGTTTCCTTGACCAAGAAACTTTACACTCATTGCTCAGTACTGGTTGGTTCCAGGAACGGATTCGAAAGTGTGTCTATAAGCTTATAGCTTCCTACACAATCGAACTAAAATAAATTTCTGTATACACAAACTACGTAAGGAAAAATAAATCTATCAAGGTTTGTTTTTTTCCACTTTAATACTTTCAAGTTTTCAAGAAGATATTTT